CAAGTGGTGTCGCACTGAAGGACCCGTGGGGGAATTGTGTTTCGGTGAGATGCTCTAAATCCCACTCCTGATTAATGCGTCCTCCGATTTGACCCTGCCGTGATCGCCTTTGGAATTTGATATAATGCATCCCATGCTCTCGCTAGGTAATAGTTGAGGGAGTTCATGTTATCATGCACTACAAGAAAGCTAATCGAGCGACTGCCTTAACCCATCAAACAGTTTGCTGTCTTGTGTTCAACATCATTAATGGACTTCAGTTTGGGTTACCATCTGGCACTCTTGCCCAATTATTATTCACTGTGGTGTTTTCTTCACATTCAAAACAATCTCTGATTTCGTAGCGTTATCTGGCTAGGCTACAGTAAATACGGCTTATAAGTTGGTGTTGTTCCACATTTTCTTTTTAACACTTTGTGCCGCACACTTCTGTCACGAACTCTGCACATAACAGTCTCATTGGCTGTGCGAACGCTGACACAGCTTACGATCACACTGAGCGTCGTCTATCCTCGACTCAAACTTCATGGAGTTGGTGATAGGAATAACACTAAGAGAGAGGTATTTGTGCGCAGCCTACATCGATGATTCGGGTCAAATAAAATACGTAACAACGGAGACCAAAAGTCGGATGCTCCCCAATGCAGTGGCTTTTACACCATATGGAGAAGTAATAGGCCAGGCTGCTCTTGATCAGGCCTCCACAAACGCCAGAAACACAATTGAGAACGTCACAGAACTTTTGGGCAAAACTTGGAATGACGTTAGTTGCCTTCCAGGTGCAGGAAAGTGGCCCTTCAAGGTGGTTGCCGACGCGGATGCCGAAGGTCTCCTAATCGAAGTCTGCCTGGAGCTTCAGGTCGTACGCAAGTCCGTCCGATCCCTTCAGACGTACACCTTGAGGAGGCTGAGAGAACTGGCAGAACGCCAATCCAATGGTCAAATAAAGGCTGCTGTTTTAGTGCTGCCAACAGACTTTACTGAAAATCAGAGACAGATAGTACAGGCAGCATCGATTGATGCCGGTTTTCAAAAAGTAATTCAACTTGAGTTTCCGTTGGCTGTGGTAAGAACGTATTGTTTTGAATACTGCAAGGGTGCACAAAATGCTGATTTGGTTGTCTTGTTTAAAGAAGTGAACCTGGATGACACATACGAACACTGGGTGCGAGTCACAGGGCAGGAATACAAAGACGTTAGGACAAGGCGGATACCGCAACTCTCGAATAGACGAGAAAGCATCAGTGACTTCGATGTGTGGATTGCATCCACATTAAACGCGAAAAGTAGTCCCGATTTATTGATTGAGTGTTCTCAAGCAAGATTGGCTCTGGGTGGCGGTGCTACCTCCTTTGAACTGAAGAGAGCAGCCGAAAAAATAATCACACGCGACTCACTCACCAAAGCCTTGCTAGAAAGCTCAGCAAAACATTTTGAAGATGAAAATACGGAGGGAAAGTGGGACGTTCTTCTTGTTGGGGGACTCATTGCGTGGACCACCGGTGGTGCGTTTCAGGTTTATGAAGGTAGAAAGTTCTGTGTCAACATGTTTTCTGCTTCTGTCGTGGGAGCCGCTCTGTTTGGAGCTCAGCAACTGAAGGAAGGCCTTTCTGACGATGTGGCTAAGACGAAAAATGACAGCGACAAAGCGATTTCAGTGACGCCCGAACCTGAGCCACCAGGACCATCAACACCGTTGATTCAACCGAATACCGAAGAACCGACTCCACACACGGATGTTCCAGAGAGTCATCTCAGATCAAACATTTACAATTGCTGTAACAATTGTCATTGCAACCTCAATCTCATGGAGTGGTTCGGTAAGCTACTAACGCATATTTCTACCCCAATTCCGACATTTAAAAAATTGGATTCGGAATGTTCATGTTCATTTCAAGTAATTATTGGGTAAAGTGCAAACTTTTTAGCAAGTAGTTGCAGTCAGAGGTCATGTGATCTTTGATTTAGTGAAAAGAGTTCTGTCACTACACTTAGAGCGCGATGTGGGAGCTAACTGAAGACTCGCTTAGTTCTCGAATAAAATACCCCTGATTAGCTTTTTCCCTAGAACATAACGGGATTTCACTATCGCCTCTGTGGTCATGAATTCATAATTAAATTATTTGTCTACGCTGAGGTGGACAGGGTATTTTGAGGATGTGAACTTCAAATTAACTTCGTTTCGAGCTAGTCCAGAAGTCAAATGTCTGGTGTCATGCGCTTTCAATTGTCCAGACATCAGTTGCTAGGTCATTTGGGGTCTCAAAGAGGGTGTTGTTCAAGCAAAGCATTGCTTGGTAAATGTGTAATATATGCAGGGTACAACGACATGTACCGCTTTACTCATCGCTTTTATCCCATAATTGCAAAAACCTGGAAGCCCACATCGTGACACTCCGCAAAAGTGAAGTTATAACTCTGGAGAAAGAGGGACCCGAGGGTTTCACGCTGTGGGCATTTTATGCTTTGCTGAGGAACTGTTAATCGCGACAGATGGGTCGTGCCTTTACAAACACAAACCTGCCTCTTCCACAGGTATGGGGCGCATTGCTTAATGCCACGTTTGGGGCTCCTTAGGGCTGGCCATTCTTACTGTCTGAGTTTATCCGTGGAAGTACGAACACACTGCATTTACTTCGACTCATTTTGGATGTCTGATATTTCGGAATAATTTTTCCTTTCTCGATTAACGCACAACCACTTGACGTGGCCAGTGTCATTCTTCCCATCGTGCACAAAAGCAAATGCAAAATTTTGGAAGCAAATAATTTTTTAAACACTCGATTCAGAATGTAAATCAACAGCTTACTCATGACCTTTGACCTTGAATCTATGACGAAAATAGGTTAAGGTATCCCATCGAGAAAAAAATAGTTTTAATGAAATGCGTGACTCGTTTCCTAGTAATTCAACTCGAGAGTACAAAGGAATTTTGATGCAGACGTAGGGATCTTGGCGTGCGATGATAGTCAGTCCGTTCATTGTGCGCAACTGGACTTACGATCTCTGAATCTCCGTGAGAATAGCAGGATTTCGATAGATCGAACACTGAATTTCGTAGTGTGGTCTCTGAGTTGTGCTTCGGCCAGCAGGCGCCTTCGTTATGTAAATTAAACTTGACCACCCTATCCAGCCTGTCTGGTTTTGTTGAGGCGCGCCATCAACTAGCATTCACCATGTGGCATTTTCCAGTAATCTCGCCTTTTCTGACCGCCAAGTTCGTTTGGCCACGTCTCGTATATTTACACCCATATCGCTATATTTCTGATCACATTAGTATTTCACTCGTCGCAAGGGTTTCATCCACAGTTGATGCAGAGTCAGTAAAGAAACAGATATTGCAAGCAAGACGACAAGCACAAGCCCTTCTGCAATCCGAAGGCAACGCCAACACCGAATGCTTCGGAAGAACCTTTCACGAAGGTTTGGCGTTATAAGTACAAATAGTCGTGGATGTTTGGATTTCTTTATTGAGGAGAAACTGTGAAAACATAACTCCCCGAAAACGGCTTAAACATAGCCTTATGAAGATAAGCCCTGAAACTGAAGTCTTTTTGTTGTCCGTATTCTCTGCTTATACCTTTTTTTTACTTTTAATTAAGGTTTCAATTGTAGTTCCGACATTGGTGACTTCCTTAGCTGCCTTCCGTGCTGCCAACAGGAGTAGAAGTGAACCGCCTCGTTTCGCACTCGGCACCATCCACCAATCGCAGTTGCTTGGGCCAAAACTTTTCTCGCCTTCGAATGTCTTCTCTATCTCTTATACACAAAAATGCTGCGAATGCGACTGTTAGATTCAATTCTGTTATGCAATTCCCCCTGATTTCCCAATTCCTCAAACTTGCAGCACAAGATTATCTCTGGTGTTTTCTTTACAAGTGCACCTTGTCAATAAATGTAGCAAGTCATCCTTATCACTAATTTGTATTTATTTTTTATCACCAATTTTTTTATGTCTACCTTCTGTATTAATTACTCCTGCAATATCCAAATGCTTGCATTAATTACCTCTCCATTTCCCAGACATCTAATATTTCAATTCGATAAGTTGCATATTCACCTCTGCTTTGTACACAGGCTATTTAATAATAGAAAAAATTGCACAATAATTGGGATGATTATTCCTTTAAATCTAAATGATTGTACGACGAACGTAGACATGTGACGTGGGAAATTGGGTATACGGGTGATTCAAGGTGTGAGTTACGATGAGTGAGCAGTTGTGAGGTGTGGCGTCAAGTAAATGAATCAGACAGCAAAGGTCCGCCCCCTGGAGCCTAATTGAGTGGGTTTGTTGATTCACGTTGGAATTAGGGATCTCTTATGATTTACTTAACTGGAATATTCGCTTAACAAGGAAGGAGTGTGTGAGGGAACTCTAGCAAACCTCACACCCAAAAGGATTTCCTTGACACACTTTCAGGTGAGGTGTCGCATGTGGCAGGCAAAGCCATAAAATCACTGAATGTGGCGCGGCCACAAATGACGAAGCACTGAAAAGGTAGTAGGTGGTAACACGTTCGATGTTGTGTAGTCTCCTCCAGACATTTTAGCATAATCCATAATCCCGTGACTTTTCATGACACATTTTGTGGATAAGGCGGGTGGTCGTTTGAATGGATGGAATTACTTTTTTTTAACAATGTAGTTGCCAATGTCCCTTTCATAGCGCAAAGCGTAGAAGGGAAAATCGGGCAACCAGAGAAACACAGTTGGGTTTATTTGACTGAGAAACTTTAAATGGCGTCAAAATTGGTGAATTTAAGTGTAAGTGGATTCCAAATGTTCACTAGAAGATGCAGGCATTCGATTTTTAAAGTACAAATTTGATTGCACAGTTGACAGGATGTTAGTATTTAAAAATCACTTCTGCGATCAGTTCAAGCACTTAGTGGGCTAAATTTTCCAATTGTAGAACACCAAAGCAAATTTTGGGAATTGGTTAACAATCAGCATCGGATTTAGAATATGTCGTGTACAGTTCAAGAATCCAATCCTAACTTGAATATAAAAATATATTTTTTTTGCAATATCGCGTAGAGTCAGTACGAAGTGGTCTCCGTGTTATTTCAGAACAGGCCACCACAGTCCATCTATGGGCCCTTAAGTTAAATGCTGGTGAACACCGCACTTTTTGCCTTGATTTCCTGTGCTCAGATCAATGTAATTTTCGTGGTGTTTAGTGGTCGGATTAAGTCCCTAGTACGGTAGTCGGCATCGGTCAGAAGGTATTTTTGAATTTACTTTTTATTCACCTTTACTAATAGTCTTGTTTGAGAATGCGAAAGTACCCAATATTGCTCCTAGCACCATCCAGAGGCCAGTGGACAGTCAATACGGCAAAGCGCCAACTAAAATCCCAACAATGCCATGTCATTTGACACTCTCGACCTCACCGATTTTGACCCCAGGAATAACGTTGGATTTCATCTTCTTATGTTAGAGCGCGTTGGAGTTGATCAACCCAAGGACTACGCTTATCAAGATTTCTACAATTATCTATTTTTTGTCATCATTTGTGGTTATGCCACCATTTTTGGTTTTAATATTGGTGGTAGCTTTCCCATTGGCTCATTCATGTTTGAATGTAGTATTACTTGGAATTTTACCGAAGGCGATCCACACAACTGAACGTGAGCATGGGTCTTTTTTGAGGAAGTAAAATGTTCTCGGTGCGAGGTGCTGTCTTGCAGTGTGAAGAGTTGGTGACTCATCCGTGTTGTGTTTCAGCGCTAGTGCTAGACAGGGGGTCAAATTACTTGCGCCCGGGGCTTTGCACCTAAACCACGGTAACTGCCTCTTAGTTTAACAGATATTGGCCTATCTAGAGAGACAAAGCCGCTCCGAACGGGACATGCCCTCAGCGCGGTGGTTTAAAATCTCACTACGACCTTAATTGTCAAAGACGTAGTTTTATGCATGCTTCATTGTATGCAAATGCGTCACGTTCAAACGACAAAGGGTTCGGACCTCGAAGTTAAATGTCTCTAACGTTGTTACGAAGATTGAATTAAATCGTGAACATTAAAGATCCGTGAGCTGTAAACTTTACTTATTCCATAAAATCATTCACAGCATGTGGAGCACGATACCGATGGTTTTAGTGGTTCAATAAAGTTTAGTAACATTAATAATAAATAGTTTCATAAAGCATGCTTCAATTCTACTCATAAACACTGGGTTCACTTTGAAGGCTCACGCTTCGCACTTAACCCCGTTGCGATTCGAGGAAACGTGGAACTAACGCTGGCGTCAGTCGTTTAACCTCAGCGAAGAGTATGACGAGTTAAAGTCTTACTTCTTGTCCTAGTTTTTCCGGTCGATCAGTTTTCACAGAGGGTTAGGCAGATGGCTGATTGGCTGGGCCAGTCTGGTTTGTGGCGCTGTATCCTTAACGGAAGTCTACAGGCCAGCTAGAATGAAACGTCGACGGTTAATTGTGTGGCTCATTTTTAATTAAATCTGTATCACCACTTGGTCATAGAACCCGAAGTCGAGGCAAATGACGTATTTACTGTTGGCAAAAGTAGCAAATTTACTGGAAAGTGGACCATATATATCATGTTTCGTTCCTCGAAGTTATTTGATCCCTTCGGATGTACTTGAACCCTTGAGAGCTGTTAAGGGATGTAAATAGGTGCAAAATTATTTCACCAGCCAACCCACCCTATTTTTCTGCCCCTGCACGTCTGAGCAGAGAAGCTCTTTTGAAATCACAGACTACACGCGCACGATGCCGATTCTCGGTGTTAAAGACGAGAGCCACTTGAGGGTGAGTGACTGTTCTACAACAAATCACACGACACGAGATTCCTCGACAAAATAACCCAGACAATGGCACAATGAACTGCATACACCTCAACTCTGCATGCAGGTCTGTGCAAGCACGCGGAGTTTTCACATAAGCAACTCATAGTAGAAAGGATTTTGCGGTGATTGCAAACCGATTGCATGGAGATTGTGCTTGGCATCACGTTCGCAAATAAACGATGGAGTGCAGCTTACGTCGATGATTCAGGGTCCCTTAAAATGGTAACCACGGAAACAGGGTGCTTTACAATTCCCGATGTGGTCGCTTTTACACCTCGCGGGAAGCTGGTCGGACAAAGGGCCCTCGAAGAGGCTGCTGAAAATCCCAAAAACGCCATTCAAGACACCACTAGTCTCCTGGGCAAAACCTTGGACGAGATCAAGTCCCAAGACAATGGGGAGAAAATGCCCTTTACAATGACTGCGAACGAGAGGAAGAATACAGTCATGCTTGAAGTGGCATTGAATAATGAGGTTGTGCGCAAACCGGTCGAGGAGGTGTGCGCCTATCTTCTGAGGGAATTGCGAACACGCGCAGAAGAGCAAACTACTGGAGCGGTTAATGAGGCCGTCATCGTTATTCCAGCAAACTTTAACGATAAACAGCAAAGTAGTTTGCGCTGGGCGGCCTCATTAGCCGGCTTTAAGAAAGTTGCGTTGATCAAGGAACCCGAGGCGGTTGTTCGCGATTTTTGCCAGGAATTCTTCAAACCCCGGCAAAAGTTTGATGTCATCTTTCTTGTAAGAAATGTCAGTGTGCATAGTCTTGAGGAGTGTAAAATACTTGCATGTAATTGGGAATACGTCGTCAAGGAGCACTTGTCTACAAAGCTGCTCTCTGACAGTCGCGAGGGTGCCAATGAACTGGACAAATGCCTCACGTCAGTCTTGGAGGAGAAGTACTACATCCAATGCACACCGGAACTCATCAAGGCCTTCACGTCGGCGCGGCTTGCTCTTGAAAGTGGCGCGTCATCCGTCGAGATTAACACTGACACCTGTAGGATGGATCTTACTAGAGAGCAGATAATGAAACTGCTTGCAGAGAACGCCTCCAAGTACTTCGAACCCTCTTCAAAAGCCAACGTTCTTCTTGTTGGTGGCACGTTTGCTCACCCCAGTCCAGGCGTGACGTTTGAACCCTACAGCGACCTTCGAGATGTCTACGTGGTTGATTTTGCCAAAGCCGGTCTTCGTGGGGCCACCCGTGATGCAAAAGGGCTGCTTGGCGCTCCCGTGGGACCGCAGACAACCAAAGAAGCGAAGCTGCGCACCATCAACACGCAGACAATCGAGTCCAAAAAGCACATTGTGACGACGGACCATGTTCCAAAAAGCAAAGAAAAATCCAGGAAATCGCGCTCCTGGGCATGCTGCTGCGGCCCTAATTTTGGAACAAGTGAGTGATCCCAGGCACTATCATAGCCCTAATTTAGAATTCAAACAGTATGACCGAATCTGCCAACAGGAGTTATACTGCACGAACCTCATCCGTGGTTGCAGTTCTATCGCAACCCCTGGAGTGAAAGAAAAAGCTTAGTTGACTTGAATGACTTGCCCGTTTTTGCTTTAACAAGTGTTGAGATGACAGATTAATGTGTGTTGAAAGGAAATCACGATGTGCAGGTGATGGATGTTTTCCCTCAAGTCCTGATTTACACTGATGTCCACCAAAAACGAGGAAGGCCATCCTGTCTTTAAAAATAATTCCAGTCTGTCTAAATAATTTTTTACAAAATGCCATAGCGTTTCGACTGGTGTATGACTCAGCTTTAGAGGACAGGTGTGTTAAAGGTTGCATCGTGCAGTGAGCATTAACACGAGTCATTCCTCTTGCCCTCTAGAGGGGAATGAAGGGATTCCGGATACATAATTTCCGATACACACATTCATTGTAGACTGTATGATAATGCTTTACGCTTCCCTACATCTGATGCCTTCTGACATAAAGACATTTCTGTGTTTTATTTTGCAGCTTTGAATTCGTCGTGGTCCAAGAAAAAACATCAATAAGTTTATGAAAAGGGCCCAGGCAATCTACTCAGCTTGTTACCCGTTACTTTGCATTAAATTCCCGTTAAAGAATAGCAGAATTTTGCCTTTTTTGTGGGGGATCCTTTTACTGTTTGTGCGCATTTTATTCTATAATATGTAACATACACAAGAAGATGGAAAATTTATGTGTGTAGGAGTGAGCGCTGCTTGTTCCCAAGTCTTAGTGACAAAAAGGCGTTTCAATATTTGATTCGAAAACAAAAGTAAAAAATCATTATTACTAAAATTGGTCAGTAAACACTTTTATCCGCAATTAGCTTCAATATCATCAGATTCGCAAGGTGGCCTTGACATCTGTCCTTGCTGATGGACCCGATACTGATTTTTAGCGAGATTGTTAGAGGAAGGGAAGGTTCCACTTGAGGCAGTGACAACGACTTCGCCTTTAGCCCAGTCTTGTTCTTGACTGGAGGCAAATATAAGGAAGAAAACAGCTGCGAAAAATTGACTTCCGGCTGCCAAGCTCATGGCTACCACCCACCCAGTTCCGACACCAGTGCTGAGATAATGGACAACGATTGTAGCGATTACGGTAGACAGGATACCTGAAAAAGGAGTCCATTCTCATAAAATTATTGACAAAATTATGAGTGATCCGAGCGATCAAACTCCGACTTTTCACTATCACTCAAAATACCTTTAACTGATCTGCCACAAAACCAAACATACCACAACTTATAATCCAGACAAAACACCACATCAAAAAGCCTTTAACGGATGAAAGTGACAACCGGACAGTTAAAGTTAATTGTCCTAACCACTGGTCATAGGTGTGTTTCTGATTAACTACCGATTGGAAATTACCCAAAATGTCAAAATCGATCGTTAAGCAGAATTCACGTGTCCAGGTTTGCATGCCTGCCAACTGTTACTCTGCAGTGCGTCTCGATTCTCATTTATGTCAAATCAATTTTCAGTAGTAAAGCCTTGAATAATGAAACTACAATGCCGTCTAGATTCAGGGAGTATGGAGATTTGCGAGAAAGTGCTCCGGCAGGGAACGAAAGAGCCAAGTACGTGGAGTAAATTCAGTGGACACTAAAGTGCGTCGACACTGGATTTCATGAAGTTAAATCAATTCAGTGAGTTCTGCCCATGAGAAAGTAGCTAGAAACACTTGAGAATTAACAGATGGCTGCCACCTGTTGCCTGTGGCAGATTGCTTCCATATGGCATAATTAAATTACGCTTGCACAATCATTAACGCTATAAAAAGCGAAGTCCACGTTCAAATGTTGCCATGTTGTTCATTCAAAAAAGCACAAGTTTTATCAACAGAATAAGAAAACTAACACAAGAAATTAATCTTTTCCTTAGTTATTGCCGGCTTCTAAGTCTACTGCTGCAATGAAAGACTAGAGCGAGTGCATCGCAGGGATTTTAAGCAAAACACACTAAGGGCTTCCGAATGGTGAGGCGTCGAATTTAGCAAAATAAGCTAATTTGTTTCAATACATGAACATAAAAACACTAGGAAGTTGTCAAAATAAAAGCATTAAAATTTCACACAAATATCCTACTTAGTGTTAAGAATGATGGCTTAACGAATATGAATAGTAAAAGGAGTTTTATCGTATGAAATCCAGCCCCTAAGTACAATGAACGTGCAACCTTTATTGCATCGGTGGGACGCTGCGTCGATGAATTTGAGGAAAGCAGAGCACTCACCAGTGAGCGTGCTGATGCTGTTCGCGAAGCCCATGATCAGCCCGGCGAACTTGGGCGCCAGCTCGATGACGCTGACGGCGTAGCCTGCCACGGCCAGACCCGACACGCCTGAAAAGCCAAGCCAAGTCAAGCGCACATCTGCAGGTCTGCATGCTTGGAGTGGGCCTCCAGTGCGCCATCACTTATGCCACGACAACATAACCATCGAGTTAGCGCTGAACATGCGGTCTTTACAACACCGAATCCCCATATTTCTGACTAAGTAGAATTACCAATGTGCGTATCCCTTATTCATGCTATCTTGCTGATTTCATGGCAGCCTTAAATTACATTAATCGTTCCTTCGTCCTTTCATTGTCCAACAGATCTAGCGCGTTCGCTTAATCCTTTTTTTCAAGTGTTGTTATCTCGACTAGCTCGACTTTGCTTTCAAAGGCTTACCTATCAATGTTTGGCTCCTATTATTTTAGGACAATGCATTTCGAAGCCAGTACTATTCTGATTCATGCCGCAGGGTGCGATGCAAACGCCTGGATAAGAGTACCAAGTTTCAGTGAAAAAAAAAACCGTGGCCCTGACATGAAGTCATTATTTATGCAAATGTTTTTTTTTTAATATGCTCCTTTTTGATATCGAAGGAAATGAGTTACGGAGTTAAAATAATTCTACTGAACAAGTATGTAGCTTCAACATTGATAAATTTACCAAAAATTTTGGATACCTGATCCGTCAACCTATAGCACTACTCAAAACAAATATTCTCCGCGGCAAATGAAGCTACAGTTTTTTTATCATAGCCCATAAATCGTAGAATAGCTAAGCATTGCGTTAAACTATGGTTTAATGGAACAGCAGATGAAATGGAGCATTATAAAGTGGGCATGGTCGTTCCCTATAATGTTTACGGAAGTTGCAGGAATGCAAAGATGCTCTTAAAGCCACCAGCTCCCCGAAGCAACAGTTTTTTAGGTGGCTCGGGAGGGGTTGACCTTTGATCACGAAATTAGTGGTCATTTTAATTTCAACAAACGCCGTGGGGCTAATGAATTGAGTATGCTGCGTTTTCGTTAGGGGCAGAAATTTTCTGGAGGTCCAGTTATGGACCAGAAAACAAAGTTAATTAAGACTAGCGTACCCGAGACTGCCAAAATAATAACGGCAATGAAAGGTGGCTCTGCTCAGTATAAAAATGACGCCGTCTTACGTACGAACCCGCGGACACGTAGTCACTTTGCAAGAATTCACAAGGTGCATCATTTCGAGTGTGGTTGCTGCATGAAATCCACTCTATGCAGAGGTTATTCAGCTCAACTGGCCGAAAACAAAGCATACCAAAATGCGCTGTGACCCAGATTCAGGCAAACCCAGGCTTTTCCATTGAAAACGACAAAAACGTGGACAAAATTTTACTAACGCCGAACCACTCAAAACGTGAACTGCGCTTGGCAATCCAGACACGATGCGAGTCAAATGTTAAAAAAAACTTTTGCTTATTTTTTTGGGAATGTGTCTTACTACTCGGGGTTTAATTACATTTGGACCATTCAGTATTTCATAATTGATTGTCCGGTTTTTGTGCTCATACTCTTGTCCAAGATTATAACGAAAAATTTTAAAGAATGATCTCAGTTGTTTCGCAAAAATGTGGCAGGATGATGAAGGAGCGATGCTGGCGATCACACAAGCCCCGAGGTTTGCCATTGACACCCAAGTATCTAACTTAAAAATCGAAAAAGATTTGACGAACAAAGGCTTGGGCTAAACCATTTTGTCCTCTTACGAGAGCTCTTTCGGGAATCATGATTTTTTCACAAATCAAAATGTCTTGAGTGTGACATCAGGATGCTACAGAATGGAAAAAGGTAGATGACAGGAAATAACTATGAAAAACTTTCAGAAACCAAACGATAAAATGAACAAATCGGGCCGTTGTATAACGTGTCTGCTTCCAAAATAGTCTACGGAATTTAGATTTCAGGAGGCAAAAGCTAGAGAAGGACGTTGAAAATGATGGCACAGTAGGGCTCTATTTTCTCACTGTTTGTTCTTCAAAATGATGTGTTATTGCAATTATCATGAATTTTATTTGGAAGATGCAAGATTGGCCAACTGAAAAATCCGTTTTATGAAAGTTGGAACTTTTGACATTTCTCAAAGCTGTTTTCAGAACAACTGGTTGGCTAAAAAGATAATGTCTAGTGACTTCAACACTAATTGCTGTTTATAAGCAAATTAATCTGTAATTATTCCATCTAATTATACCCTTTAAACTTTTTGAATTAAGATAACAATTTTAATTATTAGGGTAGACTGTGCAACATAAATTCCTTTTGGTGTATAAAAAACGTTTTAGGCGTGTATATATTAAAACTAATGTATGGAAGCATTCCTCGAAATCCCAAGTAAATCTGCCACAAAGCAAAGATTACACAGAAAACACTACACCCTCAAGTGCCCCAAACAAGGTCATTCTTGAGTGGTTGATCATTGGTGAGATCATAATCTAAACGACAACTTTTTGACGGGCCAATCATTTTGGCAAGAAGCGTGTAACTCTGCAAATACTGAAATATTAGGCATAACACCAAAATAACGCACCTAATAATAAGTCCCGGCGTCGTAAGATGTCCCACTTATTTTGAGATCTTTTAGTAAATTGAGTTTTGATTAAAATGGCATGTTTTTGCCTCTGGCATTCAAATTTCAAGAGAAGCCGGTGCGTTCTCAAAAGCCCTGACTAATGGGGAAAAATAGTCTAGAGGTTTCGTTGCTATTTACAGCATTCTCATTTCGATTCATTCAACGACTGCCGTCATAAAACAGTGACACAAGAATGCCACAATCTTCACGAAATTGGCATCGCTGGAGCAACCATGATTGAAATTTAAACGGAGGTTGACTCCTCATACTACTGATTATTCAAGTGCCTAAACTGTCGGTAGTTGTTTATGTGTGGATGTTTTGTTTAAAAACTTCCAAGAGTATTTTCGATCCAAAAAGCAAGCCCATTTAGGATCCTCTGTTTGCATTTCTAAATTTAAGCTCGCCAGAAAAAAAAGTGTTTCTTCAAAAAATACCTGGGTAAGTGTTAAGTAATTTAGTTAAGTTTTGTTTTAATCGAAATAAGGTATGGCGCAGGTCAAACTTAGTTTTAGTCCTTGTATCCTTAGTGTTACTCTCTTAAAGTTTGATTCTTAATGAAGCAAATAGTTTCGTGGTAATATGTGATGACCTCGCTATTCTACGCACGCATAGAGTAAGAGAGTCACTAATAAATTTTTAAAAAACTGCAGTGCAAAGTCATCTAGGCAATTTTAGTTTTCCTGTCACAAGGTCTTTTCAAAAGATAACTGCTTACATTTTATTGTTTTTAATCTAAACAGTTCCTTTCGCGAAAATTTGGTATATCAAAATGCAAAAAATCGGATAAATCAGAGCAAATGAAATTCAACATAAATTGCACAGCGTTTTTCAACATGGTATTAGTTGTTATCAGTCATCATATTTTTAATTTTTTTTGTTGCGGATAGTTAAAATAGCCATGTAGTGTCTCGTTTCAACTAAACAGCTCATAACTCCTAGCTCCTGGACAATCTGGTATCGTCGATATGATACCGGCAAAAATTAAATTTTAAAAGTCAAAGTAACCCCTTTGGCTACTTGAGCATTTTCGCAAAGGCTATGACTAAATTTTACCCATTTGTATTAAATAATCACAGTTAATGCCCAAAGCGCAAATACTTCTTGTTCGTACTTCTTAACTGCAAACGTACATACCAGTTATTAAATTCGCTGCTGTGAATTACACACGAATCCCTTGATTTACACACAAAAACTGGGTAGGTAAATTTTAACCGGTTGCAAGAGGAATTGGCGGAGCATTAAGCAGTTGAAAGAGAAAAGGCTTACCAAGAGCCAAAGAGAGTATAATGGTGGCGTGTACCTCGTTCTTGGCAAAACCAAGAGCCAAAAAGAATACTCCCTTCAAGCCAAATCCTATCCCTGAGAAAACTTTGCGAATGTTGGTGCAGGACATGGGCGTTTTCAGTTTCACGATGTCCGCTAAAAAGCCACCTGAAAGCACAGAAGGGTTATGACGAAGTTAACTCTGCGCCTCGTTACCTTAATAAAGCAAACACGTAGGAGGTCAAAATCCAAGCATGAAGGAAATGGTTGGAAATGTGGCCACAAGTAGCCACGCTTACAGTCGAGTTTTGAACAGTTTTGCCGGATTTGTTTTTTTAAACCTTAAGTCTAAGTGGAAACGAGTGCTAAATTTTCCTCGTCAACTCTAAGCATTTCTTGACATTATTAACTATGGTAAGGTTGGACGGTTTGCGTTTACGTTAGGGAAAAACTGGCTTGAAGTCGTGACTTTGTACGTGCACTAGTTGGTAATTTTACTCTACAAAATCGTAATTTTGCCTTACAAAATCATAACTAAGAATTACTCGTAGGACAAAAAGATGAAACATAAAACGAAAATTAGCTAAATGCAATTTTAGCGTGACATTGAAAACAAGACTGGGGACTAACGTCGATCGATAGAGATTTGACTCAGAAGTTGCCTTTAATTATCTGACTCAATGCGGTTGGGTGGATATTCGTTTTTACCGTAATTGTGAAACTTGCAAAAATCAAACAGATTTGTGTAATAAAGCGTTATTTTTTATAGACCATTGTAAATGCTCTCATTCATTAAAACTGTGGCTCATTTAAGGTATCCGAATAACAGAATATCGTGCAGCCTCCGCAGATAGAAAATAATCACCACTAATTTGACACGTCAGTCACGAAATTTATATTTAACAGATAACACGTTACTTTACTAGGATCGTGAATGTTACATCAATCAATTAACTGCATGACAACTTTCCTAATTGAATGAAATCGTTTTTTGTCGAGCCATTTCACACCTTTCAATCGGTTTTGTAGAGAAACCTGGACTAAGGTAAAGAGGAATCAAAATATAGGCATTTCAGCTTTGAATTGTGGTATTTCGGGGCTTCATAATTTAACTAGCTTTATGCAATTTTAAAAGTTGAAAATGGCCTTAAGTTTCAGGATAGACAGGGTTCAAATAGTTGCTTTCAACAGAAATTATTAATCCCGCAGCACGTCAATTAATGAGATTTTTAGTGTTGATCATAAGATAGGGGAAAGTTATCTTCGATTTTTCAAACTTCACAAAATGATAAGCTACATATGTGCGTATTTGATCATGCTACCCCAAATGCTGAAGTCAAATAAAAAATTTTAAGGTTCTCTTGTAAACAGTTATTGGATATAAAAGTCGATTGGTGACTGTAATTGGAAATTGTGTGGTTAATTTGGTACACTGACGAATAACCTTGCCAGTGAAGAACTAAAAATCCTCATATACACTCAGAAAATAACTCTGTCTTGATTAAAACTAACGAATTTGGCACACAAATGATTGCCATAAAGTCTAGTCTGAATGAACAAACCAAACAACATTAAAATGGAGGGCTTATTTTCACGAATTAGATATTAATTTCTAATCAATTACGCACACATTGACTAAAAGAGTTTCCTGTTAGATTAATGATTTACAACAGGCAGAACATGTCGGCCAAAATTTAAACACAATTTGGCTTGTTTTATTTGAATCGTAATAGGTCTATTTCAAGAAATCGCCTCTTGTAGTCACTAGGACAAGTCATCTAGGGCCTTTGCATCAAAAGTTATTTGGGGAAATAAATTTCTGTTAGACATCTATGAACTTTCACCGTATAAAATAACACATAAATAACAGCAATTAAGTTCTTTGTGAATAAATTAATACACCTGAAGAAAAGGAAGATTGAAAAATCACATTTATCACTTTTTCGACTAGTCTTGCCAGTAATTGTACTTTTAGGATGATAATGATTACAATCGTATATAACATGTCTGCGAACCGATAATGTTAGTAATGGTGTATGAATTAAAACACAAATTTGAACGAGCAATTAACCGCAGCTATTTAAATGTTCGCCTTTTCGTCTACTGACTTCTCACCATCTACCCAGCAACCTTGTAATCCCGCGTTCTTATTGACAGAAACCTCTACCAACAGCGACTTCAGGTCACTACCACCAGTGTTAGTTTAAGCATTTAGAGGTCAGCAACCTTCAATCAAAATGGTAATTTGACGGTGCAAAGTCAGGGTGGTATTGTATGCGCGACATCACCTCCAAACCGAGTTCCAATATTATCTCACAATTCATTGTTTTGACTTGAGGGCTTATGGTTGCTCTGCAATGTACCCAATCTAGCTGTTTTTCATGATTTAGTTCTAAACCGCTTCCTGTGTGTTTTATTGAAATACTTGAATTGCTAGTTTATCGTGCTGGAGGCAGTTCATAATGCACAGCATTTTGTGATCTCATTAAACTGAAAACATAATTGCTCTTGACACGAATTACTACGCCGGTTTATCACGCTTGAACTATGCTCGGTTGCTATTGAAAGTGAGCCACAATTCTTTATCAGAGATTTTTACGTCGTCAAACCATTGTCCCAGAATTATTCCTTTAAATGCATGCGGAATCCAAAAGTCTAAGTTTGTAAATATGATTTGGAACTGCCGCGTGGTTAATGCAATATTGAAATAATGTACAAACTTTCTAAGTGACGACCAGATTCAGCTATGGCTTTGACCCTGTCTTTGCTAACTTAAGTAAATATTCTCTGAACAAAAATCCTTAGAAGTTACATTCTAAAATCACTTTTCACATGTTGGTTTTGCTAGACAATTAACACCGCACACATATCATGCCTCTGAATAAGTCTCTGTTGATTTTCTGATTTTACGAGAATTATAAAAAAACTTATAGAGGTTTCACTTTGTGTTAAAAATTTCATCAGATTGACATTGGTTTTACAAATCGCTAATACTGACGGAATGCCGTGACCATTTTTACTGAAATGCAAAACTACTACCTTGGTAAGCCATTTTAGTAAAGTTATCAATCTTAGTGTACGTCAAAAGAATATATTTCCAGAAAATTCGATAAATTTTCTTAGTAAGCTTCCTAAATGTGGCCTTGAATGCGCCAATATATTCATGGATAATTATGTATTTACGTTATTCTGACAATGCAGGCGCCTCAAGCAAGGTTACAGCCAAACACCTAAGTCAACTTTAGAAAGACCTTACTATGGTCACCGCTTTTAGAAATATTAGCTTTTGGTAGTTGTAGAGGGTGAAAACAAAGGGCTGTCAGGATTTTGTCACGTCCTCAATATTGAGGGGCAGTTGACAATTGTCAATCGGCCAATCTTAGACGCACTTAATTAGCCAAAAGACTTGTGCGCTTCAAGAAAAGATCCCTAAACAAAGACTAACGTTCTAGGTATATGTATCCGAGTAATGTAGGTACAGTAATGCTCGACGAAGTTTTCTTGTCTTTAAATCAACATTCGGGTTAAAAATGGGCTCAGGATTCAAGGAACACTGCAAATATCAAATCAGAGTATTGAGGACATCGCTTTAGACAGGTTTCTACAACCAATATTTGCCGAATTACCATTATTTGGAGAAAAAGAGTTATCTCACCGTGAATTGACTCTGCTCAATTTGTATGTACTTTTAACAAGTCTAACAGACTACCATCAGCACTGACTATGCGAATATTCCGCTTTCATTAACCCTAAATTAACCGTCTGCATAGCTCTCTGCAAGTCATCGCACACTTGCCGGAATACACCTTTTGACTGCTAAATATTACAGTTTACACCATTACGTGATGGCGTTAAACAAAATAAATAATTTCATAATTTCAGTCATCAGAACTATGTGCGTTCTAATTTATGCTGCCAATGTAGCCTTTTTTATCTATTCTTAGTATCAGCAATAAGCGCAAAAACGTTTGTAGCATGTTTATGAACCCACGTCATCATAAAAGGAATTAAGAACACCAGAGCTATAAAAGCGGGTTACCATGCTTCACTTTGACATCATGCTCACAATGCTCCAAGAAACATGCAGTTTTCGAAATAGTTTGCGAATATTCCACATTAAGACCTCACTGCTGACGGTTGATATTTGAACACGCATAGTGCCTATACATAGCTTTGGCCTTTTATTATCAGAGAATGTAAGCTAGTCTGTTTGGCTGAGTCTCTTAAAAATTAATTCATACCTCGACGTAACCACGTAGCAAGAGTTGTCATTCACTTTGACGGGTCTGTTGGTTTAATATACAGCATGAATTAGTTATTCTAAATTCGTTGAATTAAAAAGAAGTTGTTGTAGGGCGAAAAATTTTTTAGATACCCTTAGTTATTTTCTATGTAGGCGAACGTGCTTAATGCAATTTAAACGTCGTTTTAGGTAACATTTGTCGCAATGGCTGTTGAAAGATAGAAAACTTAGTGCACGTTGGTTGAACCGTCTGTTGAATGCTACCAACTCACGTCGACGCTGCCACTAATGGCGAAAAGGTCTAGAGGTGATATTTTCAACCTCACACTCTGATTTTAGCAGTCACGAATATGATCCAGGTTAACATGTCAAAGTAAATTTCTTTCATCATAAGTTAAAATTCAAGCAAAAAAGGATAGTTTGCTCACTTCCAACACATAGGCTTAGAGCAGAAACCTCAGATTTCTGATGCTGACAAGTTTGAGTATCACCATTTTTAAAAATTAGCCTGGCCCCAATTGTCGTTTAGATCCTAGGAAGAAATTTGTGTCTGATTAATTCAGATTTTAGTTAACACTCATTCAGCAACTTATTTGCTGGCCATATGGTCTTTATGCGTCAGTTGCTTTGTTTATGAGCACCATCCATTTTCACATGAAGGATTCTGCTTCTTAAAAGAGCTACCGGCAAGAAATTGAAATTAAATCATTTCATGCTTGAAGGGCCATGCTGGGAGATTTCCAATTAATTGGAGGAAGAAGTGGCGTACAAGTTTTGCAAGTTTGGGTTGAGTAATTTGTAAAGTGTCTTGGCTTGAGTAATTCGGCCTTGGGTGGATGTAGTAATAAGTATTCACAATGTCAAACGCGTGTTCTTGTTAGACTTTGTAAACATCTTAAAGTGTTAGTAATTTTGGGTTCAAAAGTTAAGGTAACAATGGCATTTTTACATAAACACACGGTTTTTAAGCTTCTCACGTTATTTGAGTCCTTCTACATATTTAACAAGTCATTTATATTGACCTTGTCAGTGTTTTCTAAAATGCATTAATCAATTTCAGTTCACCTTCAGTGCACTCATCATTTTAACAAAGTCAATTCCAAACAAAATAGAGCATCATGATCCAAATTTTAAAAATCAATTTTGTAATTTTTTTCCATTGCTAGGTCCCTAACTTGGTCAGCAACTGTAACCGATATTTTTTTGAGGGAAACGTCTAGACATGCACTTAAATTAATATAGCAGACTTCTACTATCACGCGCCATCAGTTAAAACTTGAGACAAACAATCATCTCGGGATTCACAAATATTGGGACTTCGAAACGATAAATGAACCAACCTATTCCTTTGTAAAATCTTTAAGACCTCACAGCTGGACCTAGAGAAATATCTGTAGTAAAATAATTCTTTAGTTTCAACCCTCAAGTCCCATCGCATTGTAAACAGCATCTGTAATGTTGCTGCATTGTGGTCCCACTTAAAATTGACCATCAAAAAACATTCTAGTAAAGCATAATTTAAATATCAGAAATCTCCATCGCCCAGGAGAAAAAAGAAAGTATATTTATCGCGATACTGTACAGTTGCAAAGAGAGTTTGGTTGTTTTAAGCTGTTATGTAGAGGGTTGGTTCAAAATCACCAGCAGGGGCAAGTCATTAAGCAGTTCAACTCTGATCAGGGGGTTGAAACAATTGAATAGGTGAATTTGTTGTTATCTCAGTGCCAAGGAAACATACTTGCATTATCTACATAAACTAGCTTTCAGGGTTCTCAGCATTTTAGTCGGTGTCAGAAATGAGGCGTGGACAGAAAAACCTCACTTGAACCTCCCAAATTCACTGAAAGAGAGCCCCCATTAATCTCAGTCCCGTTTATTGTAGTCAAATCTAGTTACGTAATTGCTTTTAAGTACTTCCGGCGTAGTCGTGAGCAATTACGAGTTATTTGAAACAAGAATGCAAATAAAAATGCAAATTAGAAAGATTAGAACCTTGGTGACTTACCCATGGGTACGAATACTGATCGCGAGAGGAAAGGAAATGATAGTAAAAATATCGTCTTCTGAACGTCCGCATTATAGCGTTGCTGATAAAATGTTTGCATGCAGACGGAAGCTATTTGAAATGTCCAGTCATCGGCTGCGTAGGTAAGAAAAATTGCCATTATTGGTTTTGAGGTGAACATTGCCACCCAGGGTATCTGCACACTCGTCGAATCAAACAACAATTGTGGAGAAGTATTCGCTTTCAGATAGATTTTCTCGGCCTTTGAAAGGTTCCGATCCTTCTGCGGTTTTTCGTCAACTATGCGCCACCAAAAGATGCACCAAATGAGGCCAAGATTTGCGTAGATATAAAAGACAACGCCCCACCCCCACTTCTGCTCAATTTCAGCACAGACTGGCAGGCCTATTAGTGGGCCTAAGGACACACCGATCACAGCTAGCGAAATAAGTGTTGACCTCTCGCTTGCGGGAGTCCAATATCGCAGAATTCCAAACACGGCAGGTATTAAGCAGCCCTCAGCCATTCCCTGTAATAATCTCAGAATTATTATAAGTGCTAACTTCGCATCAATATTCGATCCAATTGTCTCAGCAAGAGGCAAAAAGAGGTTAAGGCCGCAGGTCATTGCAACAGAGCACCCTAGTAGAAGGGATGAATCGTGCCTAACGGTAAGGTATCCACCAATCGGACTGGCAATAAGGTAGGCGAAGAAGACAGCATTTTCAACCAGATCCTCTGTGATGGTAGCTGTCCACGGTAACTGGCGGTGATGTGACGGTTTGAAAAACAGGTGATCGTCCGCGGCTGCTGGTCCTGTGACTTCGTTGTGTCGGCTATGAGGCATCCGGCAACTTTGAGCAGAGTCTGCTTCAAAAAGGGAGGATTCAATGTGCCGACCTACGTGCGTGTTGTTCAATTTAGTTATAATACTGAGCATTTCGGCTCTCATACCGATGACAATTGTAAGACAAGTCGTGCAGAGAAGAGAAATTATGTAGCGCTTTTTACCAGGACCACAACACGCAAAACCCTGCTTGGGGACTGCCATGTGGGGACTAGGCGTGATCTGGCCAGGGTTATTCAGGCAAAATTGCTCCCCAGAATATTCCAAATTGGGTGTGTCATCGTGGCTGCTCATTTGCTGATGCGCTAACATCCGGATTGTTTGTTTTTGTTCCCAGTACTCGCGAGAGCTGGCTGAGGCGATTACATGGACCAACCAGATTGCTTGCTGCAGGGCTATTGGCTGAGGGTTTAGCCAAATAGATTGGAGTTCCAGTAACGAGATAGGGACATCCAGAAAAGCGTGTGTGAAAGCATTAAAAAGTCCTTGTAATGTTGTCTCGTTTCTTTTTAAACCAATAGAGTATTCTGTGAGTTTTAGTTTGAATAGTGTGCGTAGTCATTTATTTGTTCTTGCGGTTTATAATTTTTGTAAATCTGCAATTACGAACCTCATGAATGTTTTAATGAAGGTGGTTTCAACTAAATAATATTTTAGTCGTTAAAATCAGCACGCACTTTCAACCGCCATTACTGGAGCGATTTGTAACGTTGATAGAATCAGTTAAAGGTTTTGGAAAAAGTCTATTTAGCAAAGGTGATGCTTATCAAAGTAACCCGCCTAAAGTTACAAAAAACGACAATGATAAAATCATTAAGTCGAATTGTCTTACAAGTTTCCGTAAATTAGAACTTCGGAATAAATAGCAGTGTTGTGGTATGACGCAAAATAAAAAGCCTAAAGAAGAATAAAAAGACCAATGACGGTGGAGACTCTACTGTTTGCTGGACCGCCAGACCCAAATTTAATTTGGTTGACATGGCTGGTGTACGGGTGTTTGAAATTTGGATGGGTAGGAGTCAATGTGGCAACGGGCAACGGGCAACGTAGATGCTGACACAAATCTAATGATCCAATGAACGTCGGTAGGCTACTATCCGCAGGCATGAGGGAATCGTTAATTTTAGTGAATTTTTGAAGTCTACCGTAAAAGAATGAACATAGAGCACAATTTGTTGGAACAACTACGTGAACCCGGACATGGCATCTGCAGGTCACATTGTTAATTAACCTACCGTGTGAGAGTTGCCTGGAGTTCGGTAAGGCTGCTGCTATTAGCTACCTATTCGGTTTTAATTTTGACTCATGTAGTTCATTGACAAAAACAAATCCCCTCATGAACCTCACTACATTACATTTGTAGTGAATGCAATAAACCAGTTTCACTTATTACTGGTAAATTTGGTTAAAATGAGTTAGTTTAGTCTGGAATCATTGGTTTGTTTACAAGGATTCTTCGTATCATAAAACTAAGCAGTTATTATCCTAATAATGGTATCGACCTACAAAGTTATTATTATAGTCTTGCTGCTGAATAGAAGGGCTTTGTTAAATGTTTTATGAATCGTGATTTGAAAATGTGAATTGAAAATCAAAATTGAAGCAAAAATTAGAAATGGCATGAAAACTTTTGCTCGAAGTTAATACTAATATCTGTAGCTCAAAGCGTACAGGCGAATGCACGCACAATCAAAGTAAAAGCACTTACACACAAAAGCGCAATGGATCATTTGCTAAATAGTCAACTATGATTTAAAAAAAGTAAATTTTATGCCCGACTTACTCTCCAATAAGCCTTTTTTCCTATTAAAACCTTTTTTGGATTTTATTCTATTGAATAATTGCACAATTTATTGCCCGATTTTCATGGGTTGGCGGAAGCATGTACTTTTGACTCCATCGCTGTTTTTTTTCAAAATCCTTTTATTTACTGTCATTAAAAAGAGGCCAAACGGTGACAATTTGCCCTCACATTTCCATTCAAAGTGGCTTGAATGCACTGCGTTACTCGATTGTGTGTTGTGCGCGTTTTGATTTCTTGCAAAAGAGAAAAGTCAAATTCATTAGGAGGACATATAAAACATATGTGTATTTTTTTAACCAACTGAGAAGAAAATTTTGAGGACATTCAGCAAAAATGGGTATTAAGGTCATAAAATTGCTGCTTTTACTTAAGCCGCCAAAATCCCGTCCACCTCTCTCACCCTTTAAAAATAACACGCAATAAATATTTTAGGCTGGCAATTTTGGCAAAACAGACTGCAAATCTGGAAATGAGGTCGTCTTAAAAGGATTAAATCAAGGTCACGCCGTAATGACGAAAAGAAATAAATCCAAAAGTTAAAATAGGTAAAAAAAAGCAATTTCCGTGATCGTGAAGCCATCAAGTGAGGAAGAGTTATTCAAGTCCAAGATTTCATGATGGAATGTGGTTAGAGTACTTATTACCACACTTCATTAAAACCTCCATTTCAGTGAATATTTGGAAGCTGAAAACGTAAAACGGCGTGGTCTCATGCACTACCCGTGTTGTCACCTGCAGTGCGTGTCACGTGACACTGTCCACAAATCGTTGTTTTGCAGCATCTCGGTGACCTTAAAAACCTATTGCATCAAAATTTACACTTGCGGAATTATTACCATGTTTCTGTGTTTTTAAATTAGCCTTTCTTCAAGGAACAGGACTACCTTCAAACCATTGTAGCCAGCCTTTTATATGTAACCACATTTCCCAAATGTATATTCGAAGGTAAACCAAAGAGTGGTTTTTGTCCCAATAATCAAGGAATTTCAACCAAGACACCTGACCTATTAGCTGATTGATTTACATTCGAAAATATATCTTACATTCCACCGTTCAGCACAATCAATGCAGCCTGACATGGTTCATCTAGATTTTAAATCTTAATGATCTAATTTCCTAAAATTATTTTCTATGCCAGGAGACAGCAGTTTTGTTTAATTTACAATAATTTTGGTTTTCTATAGGTTTGATAACTTCACGATAAAAAATTGGAATCCTTCACTGGGAAAAATTATATTGAAATTCAAACAATTGCAAAAACATTCTGGCGGTGTGTACAACAGTAATTGTAACATGTAAAATGAGCTCCATAGCTCATCACGTCTGATGGTCTCAGTTTCTTCACTAATCTGACACTTTCTGCTAATCTCTTTTGTACGCAATTAATCAACTGCCCAGATATGGTAATTAGGCAGACATGAGTTTTAGGCAAAAAAAATTACTTAGTTCAGGCTACTTTGTCGCATAATTTTATCGATAGTAACTTCAGAACTATTTAGGACGGGACTTTTAAAGGGTCACCTTCTGTAAATAAATTTTGCTAGAAGAAACCGCTCTTGCAATACTCTGCTCTGCAACAACCTCCCATCTATTATTTCTGTTTGTCTGGTTGTCCTTGGTTTGAGAAATCAGCGATCAAAAAGAAAACTTGCACGCAGACGACATTCTGCAAACGAGTCAGATAATCTCGCGATGCTAAATACTAGTAAAAGGATTGCCGGATTCTTCTAAGGTTTTACTTAAAATGCACTTAAGCCTTATTTTCACTGTGGAAAGCTTTCGACTGCAGAAAGTAAGCAAATATTGGCAGGAGCCTTGATATCACTGAAGACCGTTCAGTATGCTCTGGCGGAAATTTGAGTTGGCCGGGAGTGAAATCACTTGCGAACATCGTACTAGCGGTTAACGAAGGGTTTCTCTTCCCAGCTAGTCAACGTGCTTATAAGCTTTGCTGGCAACAAAATCGAAACTCATTACTGTGAAAGTGTATTTGAAATGTTGAAAACTACAGGAACAAATCAAAACTTTGGTTTTCTGCAATTTTCGCCCTAGTAATTGTTGCCTCATATTGCACTCACTGGAAAAAGACTGCCACTGAATCCCGTGAGTGACTAAAAATGGTTTTACTGTTAGTTTAGACGCCATATTACGAGATCAAAAATATATTAGCCATTAGTTGGCTACTTTACATAATATCAACGCTAGTTAAACCAATCATTTCGTTTTATGGCGTTATTTTTATTGAAAAAAACCGATAGATTGCACAAGATTTTTGAGTGGTGTGCGTTTTTGACTAGAATTTTACCTTATCGTTTTCTTCTGCATCATAAATTTAGCATGCTTGCTTTACTAACACTAAAACAGCTACAGTCAACGTAACCATTAGGTTTTCTTGTGTCTGCTTTTAAGCCACAGACTTCAGCAGTCGTTACTGGTACCCGAAAGCATTTATCTTAGAGATATGGCCTGGGGTACAGAAAAATGATTTTATCAATAATTGTGCCTAATTTTAATTAACACTTCAAAATATATTATTGGTGGTTTTAATCTGACCAAAATAACACTTTTCAAATATACCGGACTAAATATTTTTTCGAAGAGTAATCCAGTTGTCACGAAGAGAAGTTCGACTCAATTTTAAATACCTCTTAGGGTCGTTCCAGGCCTAAGTATACTAGATTTGCGAAAATACATGGTTAAGTTAATCATATTTAAGTAGACAGCCTCTTGAAACTCACATTCAACCAGTGAAAAAATTCTGTACTAGGTCAGAGGCTATCCCTACACCGACCCTTTTTTGCTCTGCAAAACCATATTCGTATATCACTTTGGTTTATTTATCATCATAGAATGGCCTGTGAGTGGAGAGTGAGTTTCAGAGCTGTAAACGTTCATCACCGGCTTCTATCTATCGGTAATGAGACGTCATGACCGCCGCATGCATCTTGTTCCACTCAAATACATTTCGTTCCATGAAGAGGTGTTTCAGGTGACGTACATTTTCCTCTATAATGCAGAACTCATCGTCGTCAACGTGGAACCGTGCAGGCGGTGAACCGGTTCTCTCGCGTTCCCGAATAAGACCCACTTTGTGCGGAGGCAGCACATCAACTGGAATGAGGATGTCGCGGAAGCTGGAGGCCCGACGCAGTTTACCCTCGAGCCCCAGGAAGGTCAGGTCTGTCTGGTCTGAAAACGCAACACTTGCATTGTCCAGTGCGCCGACCTCCAAGCAGGGACGTCGTCTGTTTTTGCAAGAGTATGCGAGGCTCGGTTTTCTTCCTGAAACCCCAGATTGGTTATACGTTTTTGTACTTCAAGTAATAAATAACCTCCAAAATTAGTTTTTGCTTACTTTTGCAGATAAAAGTGATTTTTTAGTCAAACACTCTACAATAAACTTTTACATGATTTGATTTCTGCTAATGGAGTGATAAGTATGAGTTCCGCAACTAGAAAGTCATGTGGCAATGAATAAAGTGTTTTCTCAATCAAGTCCGTGAAACCCAAGGTGCTACTGCTAAAGCCATTCTAATACGGTAAGCTTGGTGCTAAGTGCCTCTAATTAGGATATTAATTTTAACCAGATCTCTTTAATGTTGAAAAACAAAGGGGCAATTATTCGTATACATCAACGATGTCTTTGAGTCTTCCACAAGCACAAATACAGTACAAGGGAGACTGCGTTTAAATTAACTCCAGTTTTGGTAATCCCCGTCCTGCCTTCTTCAAAGAACTTGGTAATCTCATCTGAGCAGTGGCGGGGTTCCGAGTTCTGAAGGCAACAGTGATTGAAATGCGTGGTTTCAAGTCATCTCTTTCTTTCTTTGGCAGATTTAACTTCCAGGATACGATGGATGTTAACTTTAGGCAAGAAAGAATTCGACAGAACATGGTGTGTATGCGTTTTTGAAGTTTGTTAAAATGTAGAGAAGGTTCATTTGTAAGTTATTAAGCGAACTGAAGTCAGCAATTATTGTTTGACGCTATTTTTTGTAAACTAGAAACAGATAAAAAAATTTTAAACGTAGTACGGCATTCATGAAAGGTATCAAGGAATATGCATTTTCAGATCAACGAATAGGAATTAGATCAAGATCACTCTTGAAACAGGTCGATTATTTTAGCATTAAAGCCTTTTTAGACTGTATTTAGAATTTTTCGAACGATAACAAATTTTATTACGTCGCCTTTAGCTAATGAAATTGAAATCATCAAAACAACGAGAAATTCGTTTTTAAATTAATTTATATTGTTTAATTCGTATGTATTTAAATAAACCTAACTAGGGATTTTTTATTTTACACAGTCACTAATAAAATATAAAATACTTGATTATATGCTGGTTAGAAAAAGAACCAAATCTAATTAAAAAACCAATAATAGATGAACTGAAATTTTCAACACTGGCAAAACATTTATTGAAAATTATGAAACGTGCTATGGTAAGCAATTTTAGTTATGTTAGCTGTTGTACCTTTGATGACTATGCTTAATTAAATTTTAGAACATTTATGGCAACTAGTAAGCAATGTTTTCTGTGTAGGTCGCGATTGTAGAATGCATTTGAAGTAAACAACCAAAGCATTTCTCTTTCAAAACGGTCACTTACTGTGATAGCCTGACTATCACAAAGTGTTATTCTTACATGTTATTAAAATTTGTAAAATCCAACCTCAGTTTAGGGACAATTCCCCTGTGTCTACATCAGCTCTGGTCAAACTAAGTATAGCGGAAATCATTTTCACTCTTCCTAGAATTTACTATCAAGGTCAGCATATTCTGGGCTGATGTAAACTCGGTCAAGGTTACTGGCAGTCGATCTGTAGTCTGAAGGCTTAGTGACAAATTAGAACCAAGACATTTAAGTAAGCCATCTGAATTTCCCAAGAGGCTTGTAATTTTAGAATCTCGTTTATTATATAATGTGGTTTTATGAAGGTCTAACCATGAGAATTAACCACGAAATTGAAGTTTGTATTAACCACTATTTTGTAATTAAGTCGTAAAAGCAATCTTGTGATTAAATTGATACCTTGAGTATTTAGCATTAAAATGTCATATACTAATTTTAAACTGAATGAAATCGGTGTCCTACTTCAAACTCCGAAATTCGGATATTGCAATATCACGGTAGCTTGGTTTATTAGTTTGAAGGCACTATCAAATTTGATTTCATTGGTTTAACCATTTACACATTCGGGGACCAATCACTCCGAACTATCAGGGCCACCGAAACACTGATTCACAATCGGAAGACCTGCATTGGAACAGGACAATTTCACAAAAGTAGCCTTGACAAATTTTTATGTCTCTGAGGTGAACCCTTGGGAAAACTTAACTAAATAGCCGGCGTTATCGTTTAGCTCAGAGCAGGCATAAAGAGATTCATTTAAGACTTTTGGCGAATCTTTTTACACTGTATAAACCCCAAGCTGCACTCTGCAATTGAGAGCTACGTGTCAGCTCAAACACGTGGAAGGCAACATACATCTAGGTTAATGATGCTACAACTGCTGCCAAAATGGTTAGAGAAGGAAGCAGGTATGAAATTTTTAATGCCACTTTCGCAAAGTCTAGTGATGGTGACAGGTAAAGCCATATATTAAGGTGGACCAGTATTTATAGGCAAAAGGTCTGTATTTTGTCCATCACGCAAGCCAATGCATGAATAAAAAATATTTCACTGCGTAAACAAGCCAAAAGTGGGCTTAGTACCCGTTGTTCGTTAAAAAATTAAAGTGGTTAGGAATAATTCGTTGCATGACTTTAGTGCGAGCCTTAGTTCAGCGATAGTACGTAAGGAGGAATCAGTTAAAAGCAAGATGATTAGATCAAATCGAATTTTCGGGCCATAGAATCACCCAAGGTAGGTCCTCATGAAACGTGTATACGGGAGGATCGTTTGGGTTCTTGCCTTGCACAGAAGTACCTGGATTTCACTTCTTCAAATGCATTAAACTAGGTGCGATTGGTAGTTAGTAAGTTGTTAATGTATTCGTATCTGTGGTACAGTGCAAATTATAATTCAGCAAGTGCTACTAGCATGTGTTTCGTCAAGTATAGTGTTTTTTTAAAAAAAGGTCATGTTGAAAATTCAAAATAACACAATCAGTCATTACCCAGATACATCATTTGAAGTGGAAATTTAGAGCAAGGACAGTCCTTTTGTAATTTGGCATTTAAAGATTAAAAACAATCCCAAAAGATAGACTTTCGTATAAAATAATCAAACTTTGAATTTGTTGAATTCAGCAGGCTTTAATTAAGTCATCTAATAGATGTGATGTGGCAAAAAATTTTACAAAATCACTTAAGTTAATTCACAGTTTCTAAAATTACTAAGTTTAGATAGAGAACCGTTTGGATTTTTAAAATTGATGACTGCTGTTCTAAGTTAGAAGAATGGGAGCCGATGAGGCTGGATAGGCATTATTGTCAAATCATTGGCGGAGAAATAATTTGCATTTCCCGTTTAAACCGTGACAGTAAGGTCTATTTTGCATTAGTTTACTAAAGCATGTGGAAAGAATAAGTATTGCATAAGCAGCATTTGATATGCGGTAAAATCCCATCAGCCCACGGCCCCCACGATGGTTCGCGCACCACCGTACTGCGACCCCGGGCTCTTTATTTTGAGCCTTCCCACCGCGCATCTGCGCACACACAATCAACCAGGGATTCTTGTCAGAGCCATCTCTTTTAATATAGAAGTGGCAATGGCTTGCAGCTGCTCACATTCACAACCTGTCAGATCGGATTGCATCGTCATCAACAAGTCAGTTATTGTGGCATGGATTCGAGTTTCACAGAGCCTTCAAGGTTACATCTGCTTATAAAGTGCAACAGGCAAGTTAAACCCGCTTTGTTAAACGTTAAGTTGTATACAACAATTCGGTCAATCCATTTGCGAGCATGTGAGTATTAATTCAATTACAAGATTGCAAACTGTCCCTCAATTGTGTTCAGTGGACAATACTAACGGCAAAATTATAGTTCAGTGAAATTACCCAATAGTTTCCAATACTGTTTTTGCAGTGTGAAAGGGAAGGGACATTCTTTTTGCATCGTGAAGGTCTCAATCAGGACTTTTTGCTGTCTGCTGTTTTTTCAGCTTTAAGGAATTATATACCTTATCGCAAATACTTAATTTGAGATATTTCACTGGTTTATAAAGCAATGCATCCGCAAATGGGCGTTATTTCAGGAAGGTAATATTCGTGCCTTTAACTCACCAGTAATATAGTACTGGAGAATGGGAATAACCTCGTCCGTTCTTAAGACGCCGCTCTCAACAACGTGAGTAGCGAATTCATGGGAAAGGATTGTCGGAAAACGGATTAACTTAAAATGGTGGTTTCCTAGGGCAATTCTCTGATTGGTGGCTGTTACTGTGATCTTCAGACGATCACATTCATTTTCCGCCCAATGCATAACTCTGTCGAAAAGCTCAATTTCGCGGACATTGAGCACATCCTGCTCCAGAATCATGACCAGAAGGTCCTTCTTGATGTCTTTGAAGTCCTCACGGTTGATCACTTCAAAGGTATTGTTGATGATGAGGCGCATGCAAAGGGTCTTAAGACGGTCCTCGTGGAAGTCTACGGCAGCTCGAAGAATTTGGAAGATGTGCTCTATACAGACATTGTTCTCGAGGTAATTGACACAAGCTCTTGCCAAGTCATAAAAACAGTACTTTCGAGCAGCATAAAGAGTCCGAATAGTTCCAATAACTCCCGTGAAAACCATTTCATCATAATAAATGTACCTGAAATTGGGAAATGTATCACATTTTAGACAAGTCGATCACAGGTCTTATAGTGATTTCCCAATGCTTTTTCCGCAACTAATTTTCACTAGCATGCAGAATAAGAACCTTTGGCATTAAAGCTATTAAATTCGATCAGCGTTAAACAATTTTCACTAATGACTGGCCTAGAGAGTTCCTGCTTGCTTGAGTGAACCACTAGATTTTCTGAAGGTGAACAAATTGACTTAATGTGATCATAAAAGCTTTTGATGACTGAGCATTTGCAGATCTCCAAACCAGTAATAAGTGAATCAGCAAAGTCACCTGAGAAGCCTGAAAAACCCGAGTGGGTGAACATCCTTAATCCGAATTGTGTCAGCAGCAATAACCTCATCTTTGTAAAAGTTGACAAGTGGCAAAGATTCATCTTCGTCGGTTCTTGGGCTTTTTTTGGATCCTTTCGAACCCTTCCCTTTAGACCCCTTTGAGCCCTTTCCTTTGGACTTGGAATTGTCCTTGCTCTTAGGAGACTTGCTCGCCTTACTTCCTTTGCCTTTGCCACCTTTGCCCTTGCTGCCTTTGCCCTTGCTACCCTTGCTCTTATCCTTGCTGCCCTTGCTTTTACCTTTGCTGCCCTTGCTTTTACCCTTACTGCCCTTGCTTTTCTCCTTGGAACTTGTTCCATCTGCCATTGCGGCTTCTCTGGCAGCAGCCTCTTTTGCAAGTTCGAGTTCTAGTTCCGCTTCCCTCTGGCGGATTTCAAGCAGTTCCTGTTCTTGCTTTCTTACCTGAGCGTCCTTCCACTCTTGGCAATCAGCGAATAGCTTTTCAAACATTGGACTTTCAGCTGCAAGCATGCATTTATGGGCTTTAATAGTAGTTTCATTTCCGTCTGGACCGACAATGAAATCCACGTCAGTTTTTAGTGTTGACTCTAAAAGGAACCGCATGCGTTTATGCATGACACCCTCAGGCACGGGGACAATAAGTTCAGGCTCTTCGACGGGTTCGGCATCTTTGGGGGATTTTTTGGAACCCTTTGACTTCTTTGACCCCTTGGAACCACCTGATCCCTTTGACTTTTTCGGCGATTTTCCCTTGTCAGATGGCATTGTCTCTCAAATTCACTAACTGAGGTACGATCTGCCAGCTGGCGTGCTAGAGTTAGCGCAACACGCGCGGGTGTTTTCGAATCTTTGCGAATGTCGATTTTTCTGCGTGCTGCACGTGAGCGTTAAATGATCAATTCTCAGTAGATTACAGTCTAAGCCGTAAACAATGCACTCACACACTTAAGTGTGCAAATCACTCCAAACAGAAAGTAGCTACTTTCGTTTGTCTTTAATGATAAAAGTTCAAACGAACTTGCTAGAAGCCTCCCATAAGAATTTAGCAAGCAATAACTTCTAACGTTCGCAAAATGAAGGTTTGCTAAAATTAAAACTTGTATTCCCTCAAAAGCCAACGTGGAGTGACGAAGTGATGCGTAACTTTGTTAAATTGCTCGCGATTTTTTTTCAAATTTTAGTGCTGCAGTTTTAATGTAAATAACTGTGGTTATAAAGAGACAACATGTTGTCAGGTTAAATTCAAGACTATTCGATGTACTTAAATGATAACGTTTTTGGGTGTTCCCCTTTAGAAAAGGTATTGGCAGGTCATGAGGTTCGATTGAACCTAGAGTTACTAAAATGTTCGTTAAAGAATTAACAACCATTACTTAATGCCAGCCTGCTTTCGTACTGTCCACGAAATCTGAAATTCCATCAGCGGTTTGACCCGTTGTCTTAGTCTTCTAAGCATAAGTGACTCAACAAACGCACAAACCACAAGATAAATTACAGACACTGAATTTATGATACTCATTCGCTAGATTTCTCAGTTGTTATAATGAGTAATTTGCTTAGAACTGCATACATAACTATTCACCTAAACTGAACTTTATTGCTCGAACACAAATGGTTATACATGCAATAAAGTTTTCGAAAATCAACTGGAAGCATATAAACACTAAATGTGCAACTCAAATCCATTAAAGCGTAGGCCATGGACTTAGCGATTTTAACTCGAATAAAATTTTGGTCTGTAGATTTAGTGGTACAGTTCAATATATCATTTTGAATCGTTGTATTTTTGTTAACATAGGTAGCTTGAAAAGGAGTTTTCAAGAAAAGGTAGAATCTGACTTTAGGCTCCTACTAGAACCCTCTAATCTAGTTAAAAGGGATCAGCGGATGTGACCAACTATGGCTGAAGGTTTTCAAATGTCTCAACTTTCTTTTACTTAAGAGCTGCATGGTTTGCCTGTATTTTCGTCACAAAAGTTCAATTTTCACAAAACATGATCTAAGATTATGTAAGTACGCCGATTTTTTTACAAGTCATTCTGTACCAATCATGCTTTTAAACAGGTGTCACAAATGGCCGTTTTTTATTTCTATCCATCGCTTCTTTAGAGGGAAACTTTCCAAGTGAAAAGTACATCTAATTTAAAAGGATTTGACTGCTGTTTTCCAACTTGACGATATTTATGGACAACTAAGGTCATTGCTTCTGGAGTTTCGAATGAGAATGCTCTTACCCTGGCTTAAAAATTTGCAACTCTATTAAAAGAATTAACCTATTTCGTGCCCAAAGGCTGACTGATAGAAATGGTAATTACCCCGTTGTTCTCATAATGCACTTTCTTAGTTGTGTTTTTGATTTATGAATAGATTGGTATCTGCATCGAAAAAGATTGACACTATGTTGTCGTATTCTGCCCTGTACTAACCAATATTTTTTTGCTTTTCTCAGTGAAGGCTTGATAATACAATTTCTAGGATTTATCTCAACTTTTAAAATCTTTTACGCATAATGTTCCAAAGAAGTGTAAACAGAGATTATGCAAATTTGTATGCGTAAAGAATGCCTTCAAAAGCTGGGAGCAGAGTTTTTCTGGCAAACCTCTGACATTTTTACCTCTGATTTTGAATTAATTGGAAAACTAAAGCATACGTCTAATCATGGTGAGGACTATAAGAATGGTAAATAACTTAAAAACACTTTAGGTGCACTTTCAATAGCATTCAAGTTATTTAATTTGGGATCATTTCAAATGTTGCGCAAACTAATAGGTTTTTTTCTGCTTTTGGCGAAATCGTGCAACTTTTTAGATAAAGCGACAAAACAGTTGCAATTATTGTAAGAGATGTTAGTAAAGTACATATTATTATAGCAAATTGTACACTATACGTATGCCACAAATTAAATATCTTCGCTCAAATCTTAAACATCTGTTGATAGTCAACAAAATAAGTAAATCGTTATTGGCACACGTGGACTTGTTATTGGGAACGAATGAAAATTTCGTTTGTGTTTTGACCAACACAGGATACTTTATTTTTATCATTTACACGTGTCCGTGTGCTGCAGCTTTGTAATTTAAAACCTGCTGAATCCTTGACACAATTTTGGATGAATACTTTTTCACTGGAGTGCACCAATAACTCTTTCTGATCCACATAGAATCCACGAAGTGTTTCACAGGAAATGATGTCAAAGTTGTGGACTTTTCAATATATCCCACAACAAACTGGCAAAGGAATATTGTTTCAAAGTAAATTGGGAATGCAGTCGATGACGTCTAATGCGCAATCTACCGTAATCTTAATTTAGACACCATTTATTGTAATTCAAAGGCAACATAAATGTAAGCGATGCACTGATTTACAATAACTACATATATCTCTTTAGTTGAATTAAAAAACAACTCACCGACAGTATTAACGAGAACATTTCCTACTAATATCCAAGGTCGCCTCTCGAATTCCGGAGTGTATCCAGAATGTTTATAATAAAATAAAATCCTAAGTTCAATACAAAATTTCCTAACAACCTTTCTTGTAAAATGTCCAATTTGTTCGATTTTGTCCACTTTGTTTTTATTCAAACATATCCAATAAATTACGCATAAAATGGATTACTAAAATACTGTCTTCGGTAGAAAAAACAGCCATCATCTTTTTGTTGCGACTGAATGGTCTGAAGTATATTTGTTGATGTGCCGATTGGAATCTGGAGAAACTAGGCCCTAGTGTATTGTATTTTAAATGTCTCTTATTGCAGGCTACAAATAACGTGCCTCAAAATAACCTGACCGTCGAATAGCAATCCAGCCGATTCCCACTTACAAAAGGAGTCCTTATCCTCACAGGTTGTGATGTTGTAACAATAAGTTGTTTTTGTAATATTTGCCACCTATCAAGTCATCATGTTCCTTTAACTATCAGATCATCTTACTGTGTACGTACAACTTTCAAATACGACTTAGCAAATTGTCGTCGACTCCAAAATCCTTGCCTGCATCTCCGAAGGCACATTTCGCTTGCAAAGTTACCAGCTCTCTGCGAGGACGTGAAAAGCTTCCCAACGTGTTTGGTGATTGCAACCATTTCTTATCATTTTTTTCGATAGGTAATGTCATAATTTGTGCATTATTTAGATATTGCTCCGTATACTTATCTCAGGAAATCGTGGCTAAGCCTGTAATCTTCACACTTGGTTCACATTCAGCTGCTTTCGCGATTCTTCTATCTCCGTCTCCTACCTAATTCCTTGAAGAAATTCACAGAAAACACTGTTGTGTCGCACATTCTGCTCCCAGGATAGTCTTTCGCCACGTGGGGTTTTCAGGATATTATTTTCGTTCAGTAGCGCATCGTCCTCGGGCTGCTGTAAGAGGCAATCAAAACCGAACAACCGGGTTTTCCATACCTGTTTGTCTGATGGTACCTGGAGGCTCTGATTTTGGGTCAATTTAGTGACCTTAAAAAATAATGCGTATCTTGATCCTCCTCGATTCATTTTCTTGTGTTAACATGTCTTCGTACTTTTCACAAAACACAATCAGATTTGTTTAACTTCCCTGCTCTACTACTTGCTTAAACAACACAAAGGAAAAGTAACGCAGTTGAGAAGATTAAGCAACCTAAAAATGTGCACGTAAATTAGAATAAATGGATGGTTTGCAATTATTTCCAGATAGCATACCCGCCGGCTTTTAATGGCAGTCGATTTTGACTTCCACCACGTTTTAAGACGCAAGTTTATTCCATTGAATTGCATGAATCTCAACTAATTACAAACGAATTGGTTAAGGAGGTGCCCTGTTGAAGACTAACTTCGAGAGGTAAATATGGGTTACATTCTTATTAGAGGAATCGCGATTTTTACTGATTTTAAAGTTACTTATTTTGAGCTGTGCTCATTTGTGTCTGCACAAACTTTAATACTCGCAACGTAGACTTACAAGCTGACCAACAAGGGATGCTGAGAGATTCAACCTAGGATTCATGGTTTGTTTCGTTACTCTCTAGCAGATTTCTTTTGAAGGTATGGAAGGGACGGCTATACCGTTGGGTTCAAATTTCAGTGTGTAAGTCCACAGGCTGCTAAAAGCACTTCAGACTAGCGTGCACACACCAGGCTTCCATGCCGTCGCACGCGATTCCGACCACACTGCAAGCATACTGCCCGTTTTTCTGGCCTTAATTTTGTGTCTGGCTCATAGATTTAACCGAGCATAATATTCATTGTGACTTGATGCCACAAATGAATTGGGATTGTGTTTTGTCACTGCTGTTACAGCTTCTGAACGCTGAGTGTTAGAACCCCAGGATCTATTGTCAAATGGTTTCTTCCTCGAAAAGCGGTTTCATTTGTGTAGTCGGCTGCACCATGCAAGCATGAGAAATATGCATATGATTGTTATATTTTACCCGTATTCCGAATCACGGGTCACGACGCGGAGGCATGAATTAATTTCGTCGCTTCCCCTCGGCATTTTAGGTCACTCCATCGAAATTTAAACATCGATTTGGCTAGCAAGAAATTTTCCAGGATAGATGAAAATTAATGTCCTCAATTGTATCACTTTAATACCCCTTAATTCATTCGGTCGATTATCGTCTACCTTGATAATCAACTTTAGTAGACAAGGTCTACCAAACGTGTTCAGCTAAAGTGGATACGACAGAATCACGCAATTTTAACTGGCTAATTTCAGGTTATGTGCATAAATATTAAATTAGGAATCCTAAATGAGATTGGATAACTGAAAATTCTGAATGTTTTAAGGTTTTTTGCTGTAGGGCTATTGCAACAAAGTAACTTCATTTTGGTATCAGATTAGCACACATCTCTGGGTAGTTGGAACCAGGTTTGCACTCTGAATTCAGTGTTTATTCTTCCACATTGTCACGGTTGAGCTCCTGCACAGCAACGTATCGAAAGTTAAAAACTTGCACGATTGTGTCAGGGGATTCTCGTTGAGATTGAGTCCCTACGTAATTAGCTTGAAAATGAAAAGCAGTAGTTTGAACTAAGACGTGATTTTAACTAAATACAACAACATGACAAAATTTACTATTCAATTCAGTATTACCTATACAGAACATTTCATAATTTGTTCACACCTTTTTAACATGAAAAATTTATTTGATGTAGGCTAACGGTTTCGACTGACCATTTTGTTGTGCAATAACGCTAGGATGCCTACTTAGTGGAGCGTAACATGCCTGTTGACTGCTGACTGCTAAATTCCAGCATTACATCTAAAAAATTTAACAAAGCTACATAAATACCCTGAACCATTGTCATCATTTTATCCGTTTTGGATGTTTTAAGCTTTGTAAAACAATCACACAAAGTTTTTTCAAATATATCTTAAAATCTGGGGTTACCGTATAAAGTTGTAAGTTGATCTTAAAAGCAGGTAAAAAAACGATGTCATGTCGAGGCTAATGCGCTGAATCGAGCATGGTGGCGGTGCTCCGAAATTTCTTGCGAGCCATCAAAATGCGCAGCGCCAGACGCCTCACCTCCGCGCTGCCGTCCTCCAAGTTCATCCGCCTCACCTCCACATGGATGGGCGTGTGGACGTCCACTCTTTGCTGCTGCAGCTGCTGCTGCCGCTGGCGATAGTGCCGACCTATGCTGGCCTCCTCGGGAGTACACAGGCACTCCCAGGCAGCCAGCGCCGCAATCCGGTACTCTTCCATGTTATTTGGGTCCATGCCCCACAGGATTGCTGATCCGACAGGGGTCATGCAACCATAACCGTCACTGGTGATGTGGCTTCGGCGATAGTACTTCTCGTACATTTTTGAACTGCCCTTCTGGAATTTTTTGGAAAATAGCTCAAGGCTTTTGAGGAAACTGCAGCAGGGACCGGCCGTGCGCAGGAAAGGGAGAGCATTATTTTGTAAAATAATGCCATAGGCTCCTCGGGTCTGAAAACCACAGAAAGTCAGTTGCATGAGTTTTCGAAACAGTCTACTCAACAAATCCGTGCACCGAATTGACATAAGCAAATAATTCACTTAGAACAAGTCATATTCGTAAAAGTTTAGCTTAGCATGCTAACTTTTTACTTAGGGTTAATGACTTTGAAGAGGTGCTTTCACAAATTCATCTTAGTTTGTTCAAGTAAATTATAGGTAACGGACAAAACAAAAAATCAAGATTTATTGCAACTTATAAGGTTTTAAGCCCCGAAAATCGGGCAGATTTCTTCCTTAGCGTAGAGTTTAAATGGTTTTGGAAATAATAAAATGTTTTTGTATACATGGGAGTGGTGGATTGTCGTTTGCACTGCCAAACAGTCCAAATTGTCGTTTTCCAAACTCTGTTTCAAATTGATGCCACTTGCCCAAAACCTAGTGCTTATAACAAAACAAAGGCAAGAATCCCGCTTAACCTTGTTATGGGTTTGACTATAGTATCCAGGAGAGTGCAGAAACCGTTAGTGCTAGGTTCATCATTATTGATATTCTGAACGAATTTTTCACGGTAAATTATTGATAAACATTGGCTGCTTGTTGGATTGAGTTACGTTTAAATTCTCAGTAAACTAGCATTTCTAAATTAGGCGTGGCTTAAAGACGTTTGCTTGAGACTTTTTAAAGGCGCTTAATGTCGCAGTTTAACTGGGGTCTGACCTTAGCTTACTTTCTCAGGACAAATCTAAGCAATAGAGCCACATTCGACGTTTAAATGTAATTTTTTTTCTCTACAACTTAAAAATGCTCAGTACTATTTAATAAAGTGGCATATACTGACCATGATGGCCGCAGAGTTATAAAATGGTTAAATTTTACACGCAACACTTGAAACATTCGGTGTGGGCAATTCTGGTGTTCGAAAAAGGACTAAAGTGTAATAGCAATGCAATTCAACAGTTATTGTGGGGAAGAGGAATCACTTTCCAGTTAAAGATATTCGATCCGATAGTAACAGTGAACTGTTTAAAGACAACTGCAACCATAATTTATTAATCAAACTGACCACATTTGTCACAGAAACTTACATACTTTTCTGCGGAATCTCAAGGGGGTTAACGTAAGTAGTGTAAAAAAACATCGATTCATTCTAACCCATAAACGACTTTCAAAGCAACTTAAATCAGTAGATTTTGTTATGCTCTTATGTTTTAAAGGCAAACGGAAGACAAAGGTGTGCCCATTTTGAGCACCAGAAGAAAGTTAAAAGGTTCGTGCAAGTATAAATGAATGGTAACTGTCTGGAAAAGTTGTTTTACCACAGTGAAGAGCAAGCGTTTTGCAATTAGCAAAATGACAGCACTTAGCGAGCTCTAAAGACTTTATACAAAGCTAATTTACTCTGAAAAAAACCCACAAAATATGCAAAATCGCAGAACTATTGGGTTCAACTGGTTTTATTTCGCATCACTTTAAGTATATCCAAAAATTGCTGAAATACTTTATGGTCTTTAATTTGGATATGCCTTTTGATATCCTTCAAGCTCAAAAATTGCCAAATGTGTCTGCTAGAATCAATACCAGGCAAACTTGTTAGCAATGGCAGCTCTGGAAAGTGCAACTCTTTCGGTACAAAACACCGAAGCGCTTCCGTTTCCCTAAAGCCTGGTGCTTAAGCATTACTGCATAAACCGACATCGAGTTTCATCTGTTTTTTTAGGAAAATTCTCACGGTACCAGATGCTTTACTCACACAATCGAGATGCAAGTTCCATGTAAACTCAGACCCCAGTGCGCCATTAATCAGCTCAAGAAAGGCCCCAAAGGATGCCGAAACAATACCCGACATTGCTATTTACAGCGGATGTTAAACGAGCTCCCACACAACGATATTGGCATCGTTGCCACGCACATAGACATAAAATTATTGCACTAGATGCATTACCCACACAGGCGAGATGTTAAACCCATTCCAATTCAGACCTCAATGTGTAATTAATCAGCTCAAGAAATGCCTAATGGATGTGGAAACAATAATAGATTTTATAGTTTGCAGTTGATGTTATTAACGCTCACACACTCGAAATGAGTGACATTGTTTTCAAGAATATAGACAAAAAAATTATTGTTTTTCTCAATAAAATATATACTTTGTTGTTTAATGAAATTGAGAATGTTGACTAATCTCATGGCTTGAGGCATAGGAGTCTGGCAATCAAAAGGCACAGGGTAAATGCTTGGATTGCGTACTAAGAGTAGGAACTAGACCTGCAAAAATCACATTGTCTTAGCAAACTGATATCGGAACGATTAACTCAACAGACTTAAATTATTTGTCATGTTTTATGCATAGAAAGTAGAGCTAACGTATTTGGCTTGGGCCGAGGCTCGAGGTGAATGGTTTTGCCAATGCTGAAGAGAGTACGAGCATAATTAATTGGACCAGCGTCTGTTGCATCAGGTGGCACCTTCGCAAATGGATATATTTTGCATGCTCCAAAACCGAGGTCAAGTTACTTTCCTATGGCGGATCTCTCCTAAGATTTAATGACCAGGCATCTTGGTTAAACAAGCACACATTTAGCTTTCACTTGGTTGTTTTTGGTTAAAGTCTATTGGAACGAAGGGAGAGATTTTTTACGAGCAACTATGTGACTGAAAACAAACTGCGTGACTGCATAGGGCTGTTAAATCACTTGTCAAGAAAGTCGCACATGTCTCATGATATTGTGAGAGATTAAAATATGCGTGGCCTCTCGAATGTTGCCAGGCTAAGCCTAACGACGTGGACAAGGACTATGTAGATTAGTGTGTTGTCTGCATCAAAAAAGTTAACGACTGCATCCTGAATGCTTTTTATTGTATCATTCGCTCTTCAAAATACCACAACTGGAGTGCAACAGTAACTAGAAAAACAAAGGTTGATGCAGCTGAAACATTCAAACGAATGTTATGCAGTGGTTATATTAGTTTTCTGCAGTACCCGAATAAAGTAGCCTGATTTAACCTAAGTGACAGGGAATTTACAAAAAAAAACCACCCTTCCTGGAAATCAGTTGTTTTAACTAGTCGGCACTGATTAACACCAAGGGAATGAGAATCACCCACCATGTCTTCGAGTGCGCATATGGCCCTGCTTGCGAAGGTTGCCACGGATGCATCTTCGTGTTGCAGCGTGAGAGCAAGACAGATGAAATTTGTGACAGAAATTGTCATGCTCTCCATTCGTCGGGTAGCCGCGTTCCCAGAGACTAAGTTGTCCACTAGGGCCTCAAGGCTACGGAAAAGGACCTCTTCGTCAGATTCTCGCAGTTCATGCTGTAAACGGCCTGAAGATGTGGGGAATATAGAAATATTATCCCTTAATGTATGTTTATTCGTTTGAAGATGCCAGTTTTAAATCACCAGAAATTATTAAAGCGAATTCGAAAAAAAAAACTAGCTAAAAATTGGTCAAACATGCCTATAGATACGAATGGTTTTTTTAGCAGTGCGTGTACAGCGTGCTCAGATGTTTCCAGCGTTAAATGACGAAACTTAAAGGCTATCAGTAATTCGAAGTGCTTGTCTGAGAAAACCAACCTGAATTCGGACAAATGAGGCCAATTCTGACCTAGCAGAGTAGAGTGGGTTGGTACGAGACCGTATTACTTTGCAGGATAATGTGGTCGTTTCCCTTTGTCAGTTTACTAAACTCTCCCATTTGCTTTATTGTGCTTTGTTTTCCTCTGCGTAAACCTGACTGATAGTCGTGTTAAAAACTGAATCACTCTTTTGGCCACTGTGTTGGGTTGCAGCCTTGTAGTGGTCCATTATACTCCTTGTTGAAATTGCCGATACTCATGCACCTTGAGCAATGTTTGATGATTGATATACTGATAAGGTCTAAATTAACCAAATTTGACATAATTATCAAAGAAAAGTGTGTCTGATACTGCCTATCTTTAACAACTAGGAGACATTCTGGGATCACGGCCGATCTATAAGCAAAATGCGACATTTTGACAAAATTTACGGCAAAAGTTAAACAATCACGGTTAGTATTTTGAAGTTTAGTGCTCCCAGTTATAATCAATTCTCACTGTCACCACAAATTACTTCTCCAGGTCATGACACAAAAGTTTTTTTGCCGAGGTTGCTTAAAAGTAAAATCAGAATGTAAATCTTAAGAGAGAATCCCCTTTCAAATGCAATACATTAATTTTCATTTTAAATTTTAAAGTTAAACGGGTTAAGTAAACTGTCAACAAACCTTGCTCAATAAGATACTTTAGCGCTACGCCGAGGGATGCTTCCACACCAGAATCAATACGAGACATCGTGCTTGCAATTCGACCGTTGAAAGAGCCCGGTCTAAGAATTTGCGAATCAAGCCTAGCAGCGATTTGGAAATTCTGTACTTTTAGTCGGTGACAAAGTTGCGTCAGGGGTATTTCATTCCATGGACTGACATCGGTCAGGTCAAGGTCAGTGAGTTGTTCAATGAGCACCTCAATTGCTGCAAAAAGAGGAATGCAACATCCTGTCAAGAAAATGTTTTTTTTTTAGATATCACTTGATAAATTCATGGGAAATCAATGTTCATCGGATCATCGCGCAAAGCACCAAGATATGCAGATAAAACGTGACCAGTTTGTTATGAATGGAATGAGTCAGCCGTCCTAAGATCTTCTCGATCACCAATGCCTACACATCCATGCAAAATAAAGGGACTCCTTTAGACGTGAGTTACATGGTCAGGAGACAAACTTTTATGGTCTCACCTCTTTACGAATGTGTGAGCCTTCTGGTGCCACTAAATTGTCTCTACGTGCCTCCTAAGTAAAATCACCCATTGTTAAAATTTAAAAAATTGTGAAGTTGATGAAATTGAAAATTTCAAATCTCTGTTATTAACGCCACCTAAAAACTTGACCCTTTCTTACCTGAAAGGAAAACAACAAAGTCTGTTTGAAGAACTTAGTTCTGTGACCATCGGTTGGGTTGACGTTGACATTAAGCTGATAATATCTAAAATTGATCATGCTAATACGCCACGTCCTTGAATAAGCATGAGGTGTGTTAGTTTCTATAATTTGATTTAAATTAATTTTGTACTCTGTGTTTCTTTCGATGGAAATTTCGTTAGATTTTTAGAACTCCGAGGATCTAGGCTTTCTTCCAGTTTATGTTCCCCCACTGATTTAAGCTTTAAAAATTACAACAGCGTGATTAATTGATAAAATCAAATTAGATGTCGGTTTTAGATATAAAATGCCAGTTTCTTCATGAAACCATTATCCTTTTTTAATTCGCGAGCAGATAATTTATTTCGCAAAAATGAAACGTGGGACCCTTCTACATAAACTTATTGTGCGTGCACGTGCACAAACGCCAGGTCGGAAATCGTACACTCAGGTATACGTGAACTGAGTCAGCGTTGGTGCAGGAGTTAGCAAACGCACCCTGATACCAGATTGCTAAATGTGCACACCCAACACCAGAATTCAGGCCTAGGTGATGGAACGAACAATTGAGTGGTAGATAGCCGTGCACAACAGTCGAGCGTGAGAATGATAAATAAAAAAAGGCATAGAAGAACAAAGACCCTTGAAATTGTCACTTGCCATTTCGAGAACGTTACTTCAAACGGTTTGCAATCTACGAATTTGCAAGAACCATGCTCTCCATGTCGAGGGAATTTACTACATTGCGCGTTAAATGCAAATAGGAGATATTTTAACATTTCAGTCTGATCAGCGCCACAGTATCAGCTGAACCCCATAATTGTTTAACTGTTTTTTTAAATCGCTGTAGGTGTTTTGACCTGCTGATCCTAAAAAAACTTGCATTCGAGAAATGGGCTTTTACATATCCGAAAAGGAGGTCAAATTCACTTTAGTAATGTGCTTTGAGAATATTATTTGATTAAAAATTACCTATGACTCGAATCCCACACAAATCCTTGATAATCAAATAGTTTAATTCGGACTTCTAGAAGTACGCTCGCATAATGCACAGAAACATGGAAGGTTTATGGGTAAAATGACCATATATATATTAGTTGGATTGCTTCCGCTGCATTCAACTCAAAAATGACTCTAAATTCCCAAGTGACTCATTCTTCATATTGGATGCAAAATTTTGCACAGATAATTAGGAACTATGCACGGCATTCAAACTAAACAACATGTCACACTACCGAATGTCTCTCATGAATGCAGCCTGGGTTTCAGTGGAGCCATTAGTGAATTCATGACGCTTAGCTATGTTGCGTACTCCTCCCTATAAGTCATTCTAGTTAGTGACTAAAACTTTTGTGTCCGGTTTAAAATAAGATTTAATGTATCCCATTTGCACGAAAATGAAATTTATTTTGCAATTATGTACTTTCCGTAAATTCTTTTAGCTGTCGACCAACGTTTTATAACTTTCAGATCCCTTCTTTATGTGTGATTTTTGTCTAAAAAAATCGAATGGTAGTTGTTGACTTCCATAGATCAATTTTGCCGTTCAAATTAGTTTCGAAAGACCTAAACAGGTAAGAGAGTCATGGGGCAAAGTTAGAGGAATTCGTTGAGTGCTAGAGCATATCCCAGTTTAACTTATCAAGTTTCTGCAATCACCCAATGCATCGCTGGATAAACTAAGGCGACACGAATACGTTACTCGAGAAATAACCCTGCAGAAAGCTTTTGCCAATTGATATTTTTTGTGCTCTCCAAGAACGTGCAATAAATTCTGTAGTCATGACGATGACTCATCGATGAAAATTAAATTCCATATTATAAGTCTTAGCCTTAATTAAAACTGATGAGCTGATTTACAATACACTTTGCTTAGATCAAGAGATAAGCTAGCCGTTTAAACTAGGTAGTGCTGTAAATTAGGAAATCGAGCCGAAGCAAATACAATCTCGCTGGACTCGCGACTCACTTCAGGCTAAAACTGGTCAGAATAAATTGTAAATTTATGCGTGAATCATAGGCAGCTCGCTGACTAAATGTAAGAAACAAAATTACCAGAGGTAGGGTGTTTGGGATAAGATGCTAGTGGATGATGTAATCGACTACATTTAGAAGCAAATGAGAAAAACGAACACCTCCTTTGTTAGGATTGATCTGTGCCTCTCTCTCGCTTGTTGATGGAAAATGGCCACCTAGGGAACCTTAGGTTGAATTTCAGAAAGTCAGCCAGCAGAAGACCTTTCATGAGCTGCTGAGTGAACCGGATGCCTTGAATAATATCATTAACTTGTAGTCTTGCAAAAAATCTTAAAACAGCTAACCCTCACCCTAAATTCACACCGACGCATGTGCAATTTATCCTCAGGACGCCTTCTGCACTGACATTTTCAAAATAAAATTTTCAGTGATGAACTGCCACGATTGACTCATTCAGGGACCATGGCTCTGTGGTTAACTAGATAATTTTGCCAATTTAGGGACCTACCATCATCAAGTGACTGGTCATCCTTTTCCTCAGGTTGAATGCCAGCGTACTCCTGCAGCAAGTACTCATGAAAGGAACTGCGCCCAATCATAAGAGTTGGTTGATAATTCTCACCGTCCTGGCTGCGTAAAGAGGAATCTGTTTGCCAAATAAGTTGGGACCAAAACGACGTTGGAAAGATGGGAGGTCCAGCACCAGCGTTCAGATGGGCTCTAGTGCCCCAGCCGCAAAACGCAAGGCAATGGGAGTGGATACAGACTCTGTAGGGTTCTCTGGTCTCCGCGTAACTGAGTGCAAGGCCTGTGATATCTGAGAGGATTTCAGACTAAGGGGACAAAGAGGATTTTAGCATAAGTAATGATGACACTGCAAGTGAATCTCTGAAAGAGCTAATGACCTTGGACCAACAAGGTCTGTGGGTCACACTAAATTCTGTGTTCGTGGAAATCGTATACAAGAAGGGGCATAGAAGTGCCTATTGCTGACCTGGGCATGAAGGGCCATTGCCAGAAGGTCCTCACGTATATACAAAAGATTTTTGTTGGCACTATCTTCCATATCCATAGGGATGAAAGCTCTATCTGAGGAGGCGAGACGTTGAAGAAGAAAGGAGACATTCTTGAGGTGCCACTCAATTGCGGAATCCAACTGGTCCCAACCGGACGTCAAAGGAGGTGCCCACGCCTCAATGGCAGGTGTGAGTCGTTCGGGGGAATCACCATCACCAATCGCGCAGTCCAATAGTGAAAGGCTTCTTGCCACTTCTCTGTCAAGAGATCCTGAAGGTAATTTTGACTTTTGTGGAATTGACATAAATTTTGAGGACGACGAAAGCTGTTCATGCAGGCCATTCAAAACTGTAGACAGATCCTAAAGTATGATTGTAGAATAGGAGAAAACCCACTCAGTTGCAGGGAAATATGATGCGAATCTGAGTAAACACCTACGCGTAATACGGTGCTGAATCGATTCGTTTCTCGATTGAGGGTCTCGAGGTCATTGCGAACAGATTCCAGCAGAGCTCCCAATCCATCCACGTCTTGGCTGAGGTTGTCGCCGTCATTGTTCCTCGAAATAATTAATTCATCATTTCCATCCCCGTTATTCTAAAGAAATTAAAAATAGACAAGTGTGATAAATTATTTTAGTAAATCTTGAATGCTTTTGTGCATGCGTGTGTATGTGTGTGATTCGGAAGCAGCACCAATCAATAAGTACCGACTGGTGAAAATGCCACAACTCTGCAGCATTTCACATGGCGCTGAAAGTCAGAAATCGAGTTTCGTCGCTTCTGCTAATTGCAGATGTGAGCAAAACAGATTCACTGTCGAATAATTGTTGCAAATTCAAGATATAAATCGGTCCAATAAGAATAGCAATTGTGTAAAAGTCCCTTTTAAAAAAAGCATGAAGGCAGCAATGCAAATCAAAATACATATTACCTTCCCTTGCTCAGCTCAAGTGTGCCCCTCGACATGAGAAATGTTATAATTTGTAAGCTTTAGAGTGTCAAACCTCAAAGTGAATCACTGATCTACTCAGAAATCAAATCTGTTTCCCTGCATTCACTAGCGTTATAACACTGTTTACCAAGTACAGTGGAGCGTCCATCCCGATGTATTTTAAAGAAGGTCGGGTCAATCCGAAACACATTTATTAGCAGGGACAGTAGACAGAATTATGGACATGGGCATCATCCCTGTTGTGTTTTTTTTTGCATTTTTTCTTAAGATTGTTTCAATATGGCAACTCATCTATCGACTCCATCATGCTTACTTCCGTAATACATTAAACTGATGTCCCCTTACCAACATCACTTGATGAAAGTCCTGCTTTGAAAAAGTAGTATAATCGGTCAAAGTAGAACTGTCAGACTTAAAAACGATCGAGTAGGTCTGTGGTTAAAATCGGATGACGTATTCTTTGCAAGAGACACTTACATGCTTGTTGCTTATAAGCAAAATTAAACACTTGCGTGACTACTTTAAAAACTACGATATGTGAGTTGCGCAGCATATCAAAATATTTGATACCCTTTAGGTGGCTAATAGTGTTTTTGGATCCAATGAAAAACATTTGTGGTGGCCGAAATAGTCTCCTAATCCTTCAGGTCAATCACTGACGTCCTGGTAGTAACTTGGAAATGATCTTTATCTAATTGCATTTTGTTGCCTTCAAGGAGTTGAAACGTTTTCCTACACGACAGCTTAAATACACAGGAAACATGAGCTCTAAGTGTACAGCTGCAACATCCCCTTTTTGGTTGGTTACGTAAAGAGTATATCCTACGCTTTGTTGTTGAAAAATGGAACTGTCAGATCCAGTGGTACATTGTAAAGTCGTTGAACGAGCATCGCCTGGCTCTGGAGGAGACTTATTGGCGCACATTGCTGCAGCAGAGCCCGCAGACGACGTCGAGACGGTGGGCGTGGGGCCCAAGCGCACGGAGTCGAAGCCAGCATCGCCGGGGCTAAGAATCCGACTTCTTCGCTTGTCCACTAGAATTAAACCGTGGCTTGAACTCTGGGAAGTTTCGTCAACACTTCCTGCAAAGGAGTATTCCAGAAACCCCGATCGCGATGGTGGATATTTCTCCAAAAACTCTGTGTCAATGCTTGTGAGAGGCCTAAATAAGGAGATCAGCTTTGTAAATATAGATATCAGTAGTAGCAATACTGCAGTCAAATGCAAAATGCGGGTACTAATTCAGTATTGAAAAGAATCAAATCTTCACAGTTGGTAAAAAGCCATAGCACTAATTTTTCTATTATTAAAAAATTATATTTTTGGTGATGAGCGTTGCAACCGAAAATGACAAAGCGATGAAAGAAGAACAGAAGATGCACAAATGGTAGAGAATTAATCCGCTACGATAAGATAGTTGTAATTCCCCACTTTGATGTCTCTTTAATCAGGTCTACAGTGATGGCTTGTAATTGTTTCAAGTGAGAAGATTCTAATTTTAACCGTTTTTATTAATGCACGTGCCCTGTACCCGTACATTAAACACAATATATAATGGTGGTGCATGCATTTAGATACCTTCCAATGCCTTTGTGCTCAAGCCTACAACAAGATGAAACCTAAACTCACAGCCATTTGACTTCAATTTCGATGTATGGTGTTGACATGAGGGTGAGCTCCACCGTTATTGGCTGAGACTCCGTTGTTAATAGAGACCTCAAATCCACTGCCTTCCTAATAGACTTTCCAGTGAGAACCTTTGAAAAAATGATCAAATTTACAAACGTGCTGACGATTGCATTGCTTACCCATTTACCTTAGAGCTAGACCAATTCCTTTGCTTATGCACTACCAGACTTTAGTAACGCAATAGTTCCTACCTGTAACCACGTTGTGACATTTTATGCCGTGAAACTGGACTCATAATCGACCGTCTTCTGGGGTAGCAAAGGCGACAGAATATGTGAGCGCAAGCACGAAGGCACAATGCATATTGTGTCCTATTGTGTCCGCAAACACCTTGGTCCTAAGGCGCCAATGTGATCCTGAAGGCAACCGACTTAGCAAAAATTATCAGGGAAATATATTTGACAACATGGTCGCACAGTTGATTTTAAGGTGTCGTAAGCTTTATGACTGACAAGGCTCTGCAGCGTTCACTCCCGATAAGTAAGAATTGGAATGTTTTATTCGACCACCGGCGGTAATGATTAACCCTACACTTCAAATTACTTTTTCTCCAATTAAAGCTAATGGGGCGCAGTTAACATAATGAAAGATACAATTTGACAAATAATTGATTAAAAATGGAGTACCACATCTTCCAATTCACCACTTCGCACAGAAACGGTCTAACTCTGGTTATTAAGACCATTAATCACGATGACTTGCTTAGCCAGTGAAGTCGCAAAAAAATTAATGGACGAAAAGTGGTAACATAAAATGCGATATTGGGAATTATGTAGACTTCACTTTTACTCACTTCGGTTATGAGGCTAGCACAGGGTTCGATTGAGAAAACATGCTCCGTAGAAGAGAACTTCCATGTTTCCAAATAAGAATCTGCGTAGAGCAACGTTTCTGGGTCATTTAAGGAGTAAGCAGTAGACTTTGAGCGAACAAGTTGGCAAGTAAGAACCAATTCGTGTGCTGCGCCATTCGATGTTGAACACTTGACTGGTTTTCCGGAGGCCGCTAGCTGCCAGTCAGAGGGGCTTTGGTAGCTGGATAGGCTTATTATCGATGCGGATTTGTCTGCGATACTCAGCTTGATTTTGTAAACGGTAGAGGAGCTGGAGGAGGAGGAGGAGATGTACTTTCGACCCTTGATGTTCTGGTTTACACGCAGTCTAAGGGCACCCGAGAGATCGGTAATTTGGCATTCGATTTCGCGCAGGCGAGACACGTCGGTCGATGGGGTCGTGGAAAGTGAAGGTTCCTGTGAGGTGGTAAGTGGCTTCTCCGCCTTGCCCCATCGGAAAAGGTTGTTAAGAGATGTAAAACGATTTTTGTACGTCTTAAAAGACGGGTTTGTCTGTATTCTTGGGGCTGATAAATGAGACGCAGAGATGGCATTCTGGGCTAAAAACGCCAGGGCACAAACACATCAAAATATAGGAATCATGATTTTCTTGCTATAACATGTGGCCACGTTGGTGTGACTGATAACGTCGTGGCCGATGAGCTATCTTGAGCCCATATCCATAACCTTTCAGTTCCTGGTACCGATCTTGAACACTTTGCTGCGGCTCAGATTAATGACCCTGAATTACGACAACTTCGTCAAAATTCTAGTCTAAAGCTGGAATAGCTGTCACTACCTAATTGACAAAAATGAAACGGACGATAGCAATGTTCTCTCCACATGCCCAAGAAACGATGAACTTACTCTACATTCTCCCGTATCCCCACCCTACCCTTCCTCCCGTTTTGACCAACCCCTGAAACTCGCTCTCCGCTTTGTTGATTCTGTTTGATAATTTTGGTGTGTTTACTATTTCACAGCTAACACTCCCAAGGGAGAATATTATAGCGGGTTAGCAGCGATCGCGATCTGACGGTGTCAATGACCCATCCCCTTTTCATTGGTTACTGTTACCAGACGGCTGTCATCAACTCACTCATCCACACACTAAGGCACACTTGGCTGGAGGGACTTTTTTATACAAAAGTGGGATATTCCCTGATCTGAATTTGATCTTTTAAATTTCGTTTTTACGTAAACTACCTTTAAAGAAGAAACTGAAAAGTAGTCCTTTAAAACTTCGTGGGGCAACTACAAATGCTCTAAAAATTAAACGCTGGATTCTACAAAAGAAGTCACCTCGGCTCTAAGCATCATTCGAATGCCAAAATGGCCGTTAAAGCTTGAACCTAAAATGCTCAAAAGGCAAACTTACCTTCTGGTTTCCTTAGAATTTCTTCGTATTCCCGCAACAACCTGCTCACCTAAAAGAAATGTCTGAATTTGCTCGTGAAACCAAGAACATATTTAAAAGTATACAAGTTCTGAATAAATATAAATGGCTCTAGTTTGCATTCGTTCGCCTTACCTTAGAAGGTCAATTGCAGTGTACTTATATGGGCCTTTCTCCTCATTTTTGGTTATTATTGTGGCTACTTTCACAGTTATATTTAATATTTAACGCTATAAACTCCGGTTGTAGTGTCAGTACGGAACGGTTCACTGACCTGAGGCGCTAGAATTTATGTAAAACTATTCTGATTACTTTAGTAAGCGCTTTTAGTTACGACATGCCACATGCGTGGATCATTTACAGAAAATCCAATTCCAAAACAATGAGTCTGACAGTTATTTAGACAAAGGATTGGTCATTCGAAACAAGTTTTGGAGTTACTGAATGGTAAAGTTAACATACACCATGAAATATTTATGCAAACCGTGGCCATAGATCAATTTGTTGCAGATTAGCTTGGCATAAGGAGCTCTTTGAGTAAATTATGATAAATTTTGTGAACGAAGCTAAGAAAATCATTAATTATCCTGTTATCAGAATATTAAAACTTACAGTTTCATATTTCCACGCAAGTGCTCCATGCATTTGTTTCTAAAATGGGAGAAGAATTTGAAAATTTGTTTATTCAACTAAATTGCAGAAGTGTAAAATTTAGATTCGGTTAAAGCAAATTTTTGGCGCATTTCAACTTGTGTCGTACCAGTCGATTACTGCCAGGCCCCTCTGGGGAGGATCCCTTGGATAATTTCATTAAATTTCTAAAACAGGAGTTAATGTGTTGAAAAAATATGTTGCAGTTTATAATTATCTTAATTTATTTCAATGCATTGGCTTTGACAGGGTTTATTAATAAGCGACAAAGGCAGTATTTTGGTGTCCAAGAGACAGTAAACGTACATCATCCACAGCATCATAATTTGTGAAATGTGAAATTTGAAGTGTAATAAAAAATCTTTTGGAGAGTTGGAACACGAATAAAAATTTTCAATTTATCGTAACGAAGTCACACTATTATCTACTGTAGAATGTACGCACCAAGTTTCACTTTGTGAAATAAAAAACCTAAGGCTCAAAATGACACGACACCAGAACCTACTTTTGCTTATGGTTGCCTAAGTTTAAACAGCAGACGTGATATTTACTTGTACAATATTGGCCAACGTGTTTAGTTATTTGCAAAAAAACTACTTAAAAGTAGTGTTCGCTTGGTAGTTACTCTTAAAAAACATTAAAAGCAGCAAATAAAACCTTCGCTGGAAATTTCTGAATGCTAACAGATAGTATTATTCATACCTTACACCATCCAGGAGCGCGTATGTGAAGGTGATAAAACTTTGTTTGTTATGTATTTCAAAGTGGTCAGTTTTACGATGTTCTGGAACCTCATTGGAAAGGAGATAACTTCGTATTTCCTCAACAGAACTTTCGTACACGCTAGGGGAGTGCCATTGATGACCACCTTTGGCCTTATTCTGAATTGGAAATGAGTCACTACAGAAGCCCTGGCCAGCCGTTGTTGATGGATCGGCTTTAGAGTTTAGTGACTGAAATAGTAAACCAGCCCGATGAGTGAAGTCTGAATCAAATGTTTTGGGACATTAAGAAAGTTTAAGCGGAAGAAATATGTTGACTGATATTGGTTATAAACTAGTCTATAAACCAGAGGCCATGGTATATATCATCGCTCTTTTGCAATAAACCAGAGCACTAGTATTAAATAAAGACTAAACAATTGATTACACCCAGTTTTATAAACCATGGGTGATTTATATGATTTTTATTAAGAACTGCAGAAGTTATCCGCCTTAAATTTAACAGGGTATCTATTCATATGAAACGGCAATAAAATTTACTATGGTGGCGATTTACAAATATCAGAAACAACTATTATTATCCATGACTAAATGCAAGTGTAGTCAAATGGACTGAGCTTCGTGGCTTCAATTTTAGGATGATCGTAGACGTACCTACTTTTGAAAGGCGAAAATGTCAAAACATACTACAGGGCTGAAACCACTACTAAATTATCTTCACTGAGCGGAATTGGGATTTAATAAGCAGGACTCTGACATTCATTTAAGTTAGGACGTATGGACACACGCATATTTTAAAAGTTAACATAGATACATATTTAAATGCTTTATTTTGTATGTAATGGTTTTAAAAACTAAAACAAAAATAGTGACAAAGAAACATCAATTTGCAGCAAAATCACTGTCCGATTAGTAAAGCACAATCGAGAAAACCCAAATCATTTTTTTATACTAGTATGCTAATGCCTGCATCTTGTAGTAATTAATCTTAAATTTTCTAATACGTAACAAAGTCTTAAATACTCACATTAATACCAGAATCGTACAAATTATCGCTTGGATTAGTAAGCGCAATTTGTTTAAAGATTCTCTCTGG